TTCACACCCTACTTAGCACACAGCTTTACTTTGTTCTTTATTAACCGACGTTTAAATGTCACGTTTACATACAAGATCTTTACCCTTGTAAGCCATGATAAATGTCTAATCGCAAAATAGCCAAAATTATTATGTTAAGTCAATTATCAGGGTTACGTACATGGATACGTAAAACTATTAACGCAAAAAACTGAATTAATTGTATTTTGTGTTTTAGCTCATGTTGCCCTTAATAACCTACAATTAGATTCATCGAACAACCCGTGTTTGCTGCTCCCAATTAGACGGCATGTTTCAAACAAAAATTCCAGATATGCAATTCGAACTCTTGACCGGTTAAAAATTTCTTATCAACGCAAAACTAGTAATTGAAGTGCATTTCAAAAAATTAAAAAAAAAATGTGGTTAACCTGTTCCCTGTCTATGAATCAATAAATCCACCCAATGTAAACCTATTTGCACACACATTCGGACATATGGACGTTTATAAATATCGATTTGCTGCTTTGTTTTCCTTATCAACCTCGAACAAATATTGTTTTAATTTTTTACTACGTTATTTCTTTTATGATTTGACAAAAAATTAATTATTATAATTATGTACATTGACGTTGTATTTTATAATTTACTAATGCCATGGATTTCAATTAATGCAACTTAATCGCTACTTACAGTGAAGCGTAAAATAAAAATAATTAGATTCGAAAAAAATATACGATTTGAATTCAAAACAAGTAAAAATGGGTATGCCCGAACGAAGGGGCATAACCTTTTTCATATAAACTTTTATCATAATTACACTATCCAATTGGTACATATCAAAACTTAAGGTGAGAATACATAAAACAGTTTTTTGAGTCGGCTGGCTTCTTCGTAGCGAAACAAAGGAGTTTTAGGTTGACTTAGTTTGATGTTGATCCTATGCTCCTTTTTATACCCTCCACCATAGTATGGAGGGTATATTAGGTTTGTCATTCCGTTTGTAACACCTCGAAATATACATTTTAGACCCCACAAAGTACATATATTCTTGATCAGCATAAAATTCTATGTCGATTTAGCAATGTCCGTCCGTCTGTCCGTCTGTGGAAATCACTCTAGCTTCCGAACGAAATGAAGTAGACAGAAAATTGTCTGTGCAGGTTCACGTCTTCGTATAGCCCCAACATAACGGTTCCCCCCGATATTCGGTATTTTGATGATTTTAGCGACATTATTTACCGGAATTGTTTCAAATTTCGCATTTGAAGTTCGTAATGGATATTACAGCCTGTGACAGAAAATTGTCCATGCAGGTCCACGTCTTCGTATAGCCACCATATGACGGTACCTCTTGATATTCGGTATTTTGATGATTTTAGTTACATTACTCACCGATTTTTTTTTTTTTTTTTTTTTTTTTTTTTTTGAAGTTTCGCATTTGAATATTGTAATGGCTAATGACAAAAATTACCTATGCAGGTCCATGTCGTCGTATAGACCCCAATGCTACATCTACATTCGGTATTTTTAAGATCTTAACAGAATTATTAACGGATTTTATTGTTTTTGAGAATTGCCAAATTCGTTCCAAATGGTGGAGGGTATTCAAAGTTCGGCCCGTCCGAACTTACAGATTTTTTACTTGTTTTCAGTATCAAGAGTCTCCATATTAGCTCCTTTGCTTTACATTTTTATACCCTCAGAGAGGGTATATATCATTTGATACGACCAAAACGTGCCTCATCGAAATAACGATTTTAGACCCTGGGTCCCTTTGGACCAAATCCATTTCACGACATTTGGAGTCGATCTAGCGATACCCGTCCGTCTGTCTGTCTGGCTAGTTGGTGCGCACGATAACTCTCGAAGGGAGTATCCGATTTGGTACATCGTAATATTATTATCAATCTTAGATCGAGTTCGGAGATGGGCAATATCGGTCAACTCCTTCTGGTACCTCACCCACAAAACGTCGAAATTTCCAAAAAAAAAAAAATGTTTTACTCCACGGAAACAGAAATGATAATCCGATTTTGCTTCAACTTTGCGAATCCTAATATTTGCATCAGTGCTAGGTCAGGTGCGTAAATGGACAATATTGGTCCACACCATCAAGTACTTCCCCCACAAGGGGTCAACATTTTGAATAATCATAACTATCTAACTATCGATCTAGCGCTGTCCGTCTGTTTGTCTGGCTAGTTGGAACGCACGATAACTCTCGAAGGGAGTATCCGATTTGGTACAAACTGGGTACATCGTAATTAGATCGAGTTCGGTCATGCGCAAGATCTGTCCATTCCATCTGGTAGAACCCCACAAAAGGTCGAAATTTAAAAAAAATTTGTATACCGATTTTGCTCCAACTTTGCAAATCATAATATGTGCATCAGTGCTAGGTCAGATCGGACAAATCCTTCTGGTACCTTCTCACAAAGGGTCAACCAACACGATGATAAAATCCGAAATGAGCATTAGGTTCTTTTCATATTTCACACGTTCAAATATACTAACCCATAACTGCTGTGAAGATGGGATGCATCGGTCCACTCTTTCTGGTACCACCACCACAAAGGGTCAATATTTTGAATATCCATAAAGCTCTTAAAACACGAAATTAACATTCGATTCCATTCAGACTCTGTACATCTCAATATTTTCATCAACACAAGGTCTGTTATAAAGATGATAGAGATCTGATACCTCTCCTACATAGGGTTCAAGATTGAAAAACAAAACGCTCAAAGAAAACGAAATAAGCATCATACTCTCTTCAAATTTCTCACATACATCTGAATAATTCTCTCACTGGGCTAACCCTGATAATTGACCAATTACAATCTATTGGACTTTAGAAAGCATACATTTCTTTAATTGTGCTTGGTCAATTATAACGATTAACCCGGGCAGAGATTTTGTATGTAAACGCGCTATAAGTCAACTTGCTACAGATTGGTTAAGAGACTTTGAAACGTCAACTTTTGCCAGAGGTAAAATTGCAAAGTCCACTTTTGAGATCATGGATTTTCGGTTGAATATGCAGTTCAAAGTCCAACAAAGATCACTCTTTAGAAAACAATAAGCAAAAATCGCGTGTTCTTCGTTCTTTTAATTATACGTACCAATAACACAAAAAAAGGTAAGAATGTATTAAACGCTCTTTTGACTTGCTTCAATCATCGGCTGGCTTCTTCAGAAAAGAACAAGGGGAGTAGGGTCAATATCGAACTAAGTCAACCTAAAACTCTTTTGTTCCTCTACGAAAAAACCAGCCAATGACAAAAGCCTGTCAAAACAGCGTTTTATGTATTCTTACCTTAAATCATATCATTGGTAGGAAAATCTCATCGTAGAATTAAGAAGTCAAAGTCATTTTAAATACGCATACTCATCTATGTAACATTAATTGTCAAATTTGACTGCAAGAATCTACTAGTTTTGCAACTTCCTTCGATATCATAAAGAAAAATTGGTTATCGTTTTAAATGAGTTTTTTGTACCCTACACCACATAGTGGTAAGGGTATTATGTCTTTGTGCATTTGTTTGTAACATGGAGAAGGAAACTAGATAGACCCATAGTTACTTTTGAGGATCTTCATAGAATCACTTTCTGAGTTGATTTATGCATGTCAGTCTGTCTGTCTGTCCGTCTGTCCATGTATTCTTGTGAACAAAATGCAGGTCGCATTTATTATCCAATTGAGATGAAATTTTCCAAATAACATTTGCTTGGCCCAAGGACGAACTCTATTGAAATTGGAGATAATCGGTCAAAATTTAGATATAGATCCCATATATATCTTCGTCCGATTTGCCTTTTATTGTGCACCAAACGTGAATTATCAACCCGAATAGTATGGAATTTTGCACACACAACCAGGTTAGGCCTGAAAATAAGTATGCCAAAATTGATCGAAATCGGTTCAGATATAGCTATATCTCATATATATATTGTTTTGTTATTTTTGTCCTCCGCAGCCTTAATATGCACTCTGTAGTAACAACAATATTTGAGAAAATATATCAAATATAGCTCAGAAATACATTTGCTAAATTTTATCGAGATCGGTTCAGATTCGGCTATAGCTCCCATACATAACTTCGTCCGATTTAACATTTTTTGTGCACCAAACTTCTAATATTTGTCCAAATGGGATGGAATTTCGCACATGCGACCGAATTGAGTCTAGAAGCTAGTATGTCAAATTTGGTAAAGATCGGTTCAGATATAGCTATAGCTCCTATATATACTGTTCATCCGATTTGCTATATTTGATACCCACAGCCGTAATATGCACTCCGTAACAGAGATATTCAGGGAAATATATCAAATACAGCTCAGAAATATCTTTGCCTAATTTTATTGAGATTGTTTCCGATTTGGCTATAGCCCATATATATCTTTATCCGATTTCAAATTAATTGTGCACCAAATGGGCAATTCAATTCCGAATTTAGAAGATACAAATCCTTCGGCATATTTAGTCCTTTGAACTTTAAAATAAAATTATAATCGTAGCGTGTAAGATTGAATTCTCCTATAAAAAACTTTTAATTGTTATGCGGAGCTCTACTAAATTAACAAGATGGTGTAGGGTATCATAAAGTCGGCCCGCCCGACTTTAAGACTTTCTTTACTGGTTTAAGGTTGACTTAGCTCGATTTTGGCCCTACGCTCTGAAGACAGCCGATGACTTAAAGGTGTGAATACATAAAACGGTTTTTTGACTGGCTTTACTCCTCGGCTGGCTTCTTGGTGAGGAACACAGGAGTTTTAGGTTAACATAGTTCGAATTCGACCCTACGCTCCTTTGTTACTTTCCAAATAGGCAAGCAGATGACTTAAGCCAGTCAAAAAAAGAACCTTGTATGTGCTCCCACCTTACCTTCTTGCAATTTTGGATCAGAAATTCCTCAACGCCTGGATCCAGGAAATAGTTCATTTAAAAGAGCTTAGCTGGAGAAAGTGCCTTCTTGAATGCACAAGATCTTACAACTCTACCCTTTCTCTTTCAGATCGTGTTTTACTAACCCGCTTCTTCTTCTGCATGCACAAAGATGAGGAAAAGACGAAGAAGCTATTGGAAACCAACTACACAATAAGGCTAGCCAATCCATATATTTTCACCAAACGGGATCCAACAGATCAGGACTCAAAGAACACAATTGCCATAGCGTAAGTGTGTCATACAATTCATTCGGTTGTATAAAATATCCCAATTTCGATTCTTATGCAGAGATATTGTTCCCTTGCCCGGCCTAACAAAGGAGAATTATCGCATTGTTGTGCATCGTTTAACCAATCCCGATGCAAATTTGGTATGAAACTCTTTTTACGCCCCCTTTGAGAATATTTATCACATGAGATCTTTCAATTCTTCTCTATAGATGCATCATGCCGAGGACACTAAAACCTATATTATGTTAAACGATTGTCGCTTCAGTTTACCCGATGCAATCGTCGATGGCGCTCCCGTCCTATCCGCCGGTGACGTTCACATCAGTGATATGTCCTGCCACAGTATGGCCCACATGAGACGTATGTCGTTGCGTATTCTACGAACAATGCTCAAGTTTGTACAGGAAGCTTATCCGGTGCGAATTAAAGCCATTCACATGGTGAACTGTCCGTCGTATATGAATAACATGTTGGCATTCGTGAGGCCCTTTGTTAGTAAAAAGGTATTCGAATTGGTAAGTTTGTGTTGAGATTTTGACATCATTTGTAGTATACGAGTATATAGAATGAAATGTTTAATATTTGAAAGGGAGATATTTGAATTCAACAAAAAACCAGTAAAGAAAGTCTAAAGCTGGGAATACATAAAGCGCTTATTTGGCTGGCTCAGGTCATCGGCTGGCTTCTTCGTAAATGAACAAAGGAGTTTTAGGTTGACCTAGTTCGATTTTGGCCCTAGGCTCCATTGTTCATTTCCGAAGAAGCCAGCCGATGACCTGAGCCAGCCAAATAAGCGCTTTATGTATTCCCAGCTTTAAAGTCGGGCGGGGCCGACTTTATGATACCCTACACCACTTTGCTAATTTAGTAGAGCTCCGCATAACAATTAAAAGTTTTTATGGGAGAATTCAATCATACACGCTATGATTATAATTATAATTTAAAGTTCAATGGACTAAATATGCCGAATCATTTGTATCTTTTAAATTCGGAATTGTATAGCCCATTTGGTGCACAATGAATTTGAAATCGAATAAAAAATATATATGGGAGCTATATCCAAATCGGAACCGATCTCGATAAAAATTTGCAAAGATATTTCTGAGCTGTATTTGATATATTTCCCTGAATATCGTTATTACGGAGTGCATATTACGGCTGTGGGTAACAAATATAACAAATCGGATGAACCCTATATATGGAAGCTATAGCTATATCTGAACCGATCTTCACCAAATTTGACATACTAGCTTCTAGATTAAATTTGGTCGTAAAATTTCATCCCATTTGGACAAATATTAGTTAGTGCAGAATAAAAGGTAAATCGGACGAAGTTATATATGGGAGCTATATCCAAATCTGAACCGATCTCGATAAAATTTAGCAAATGTATTTCTGAGCTGTATATGATATATTTACCCAAATATTGTTGTTACAGAGTGCATATTACGGCTGCGGAGGACAAAAATAACAAATCGGATGAACAATATATATGGGAGCTATAACTATATCTGAACCGATTTTGATCAAATTAGGCATACTTATTTTCAGGTCCAATCTGATCGTACGTGCAAAATTCCATACTATTCGGACTGATATTACACGTTTGGTGCACAATAAAAGGCAAATCGGACGAAGATATATATGGGAGCTATATCTAAATTTTGATCGATTATCTCCAAATTCAATAGGGTTCGTTCTTGGGCCGAACAAATGATTTGTGCAAAATTTTGTCTGGATAGGGCAATAAATGCGAACTGTACTTTGTTTACAAAAATACATGGACAGACGAACTGACGGACGGACATGCATAAATCGACTCAGAATGTGATTCTATGCAGATCATCAAAAGGAACTATGTGTCTATCTCGTTTCCTTTTGTCTGTTACAAACAAATGCACAAAGACATAATACCATGACCACCTTGTGGTGTAGGGTATAAACACAGAAAGGAGAACTCGGGCGGGACAGACCCCCACAACAAAAGAATTTATTTGAAGGGGATCATACCGCCTATCAACATTTGGCTTTAGAGCAGTTATAGTTTGGTTTCAGAGGGAAATCCAATTCTAAATCGATTTTCACTAAATTTTACGGAGACATTTTAATCTTTTATACCAAATAACATTGCTATAGAATGCATGATGTCACTTCGAGAAGGATTATATTAAATATATATCGGAGCCGAGTTCCAGTAAACAGAAACGTCGAATTGGTCATCTTTGGCACGAATTATGGCCTTCAAACGGCCAATGAAACCGTCACAAGCTGCCCGAATGTTGCTCTGAGCTATTTTGCCCCATTCCCGGCGAAGCGCTTGCTTGAGGTCCTTTTTAGTGCCAATCTTGCTTTCCAAAATACTCCAGACACAATAGTCCAACGGATTGGTATCCGGAGATTTTGGTGGTCATTGTGCGCTGGAAATGAAGCAAGAAACCTCATTATGTAACCATTCTTGGGTGCCGCGTGCTGAGTGCGATGGTGCTGAGTTCTGATGGAATGTCCAAGGTCTGCGGCCAAAATGTTTGTGTGCCCAAGGCTTTAATACACCCTACAGAATATTTTCGCGATAATATTCGGCATTTATTCTGATACCACGGTCGATTAATACGAGCGGAGAGCGACCATCGGCTGTAATGGCGACCCACACCATCACCATAGCCGGCGCTTGAGTTCTCGTGGCCAACCGAAGGTGCACATTTTCAGCTGACCTTTTTAGCACCTTTTGTTTACAAACTGCTGGACAACGAATGTTTTCTCATCGGAGAAAAACAAATTCGGCAGTTCATCACTTTCGGCGAAGCGAAGCTACTCTTTAGCTCTTTTGAGTCTATTTTCCTTCTGTTGCGGTGTAAGTCCTTGCACTTTTGGGAATTTCAATGGATTTACCCCGCGCTCATTTTTCGATATTTGTCGAATGAAATATTGCGATATGTTCAGCCCATGAGCCATTTTTCGGCCACTGCGACGCGGTTTTTGATCAAGTCGCTTCTTTATTTTCGAACCATTTCTGCTGATGTTGCCGTTGTCCTCCATCCACTTCCTTGACGTCGGGCTACGCTACCAGTATTACGGTAACGAGCGATGGTACGAGACACAAAATATTTATTCACACTTAAATGCTGGAGTGCTCTAACGAGAGCCACTTGTGGTTTTCCAGCCAAATATAAAGATATCACACTATCACGCTTAAATTCCATCACGAATAATTTTTTTTTTTTTTTTTGGAAATTCTCACCAAAATGCTTTTGTACGCTTGTAAACAATATAATGAGCTATCATTGGAATAATTTTAACAGCTGTCGGACGAGTGGCTAAGAAATGACAGCAGTCTGATGTTGGTTGCAGTCTTTTCATTTCACCCTGTAGTTCAATTTCGACCCTAAATTTTAACAAAGTGGCCCTATTTTCCATTGTTCTTTTACGAAAAATCCAGCCGATGACCTTTGTTAGAAATAAAATCTTTTACGGACTCTTACCTTTAGAGTTTAGAATTTTGGGTACGTACAAATCACTCTATAAACCTTTTCAATTAAGACTAGTATACACACACATATGACCTGTTCCAGAACTGCAATAATGTCAAAGTTTTTACTACGATTAGCGATTTTCCTTTCATGAGATCGAAGAAAATTCTAGATTCTGACAGGTACTGGAACAGAGCAATGTTAAGGTCAAATGTGAAACAACTTCTTCTAAATTGATGTGTTAAGTACTTTTATAACATATTTTAAGGCACTTCACACCATTTGTTATCTGAAAGGAAACTCTTTATAGTATATTAAGGAAAGTGTGCCTAAGTTCGGCATGTCCCAGTAGTAGGCACTTTTTATTTTTAAGCTCAAATAAATATTTTAATAAATTAATTTTATTAAATTAAATATATTATAATAATATTAAATAATATATAATTAAATATAAATTATCCTTACAAAAAAAAAAATCGGTATGCCGACTGTTGGAACATGTCATACTGACAATTGACAAGTGATGCCGACTTCTGGCAAAAAAGCATTATTTTAATAAAACTCCAAATTTATGAAATTTAATAAAAAGTAATTTTTATATTTGTAATAATTGAAAAGTTCCACTCTGAATGGTGAACGATTAAAAACGCGAAAATCCTAAAAGTGCCGAATACCCTATATATTAATATATTCACGTAAATGGGATGTGTGTATATTGTATAGCATTGTATGCTATAAATTTCATGTAATATAGCATTTCGATGTGTTAGGCGTCTTCAAAAGCTGCTACAAAAATTTTAATTATAAATTGTAAAAAAATTACTTAACATATGACTCTAACACGACGTCGGAACTACGCTTTAAAAAGTGGAAACAAATTATAAAACCATAATGTTTTGTTTTAATGACTAAATGACTATTTTCAGCGTCTGGCTTTACTATAATCAGTTAATTAGCAAACACTAATGTTAATAAAATTAGTAAACACTAATTAACCAATTATAGTAAGGCCAGGCGCTGAAAAAAGCTTTAGACATTATAGTTTTATGCATTTGTTTTATAATTTGTAAATTGTCAATATCAATATTCAATATTCAAAGACTCAATAAATTTGAATTGAATGAATGAAACGCAAAGATTTGGATGTGGGAAAAAAGGATCTTGATTGCTCTGTTAGGCATGAGGTCGATAATCGATAGCAGTGAAATTTATTGCAGACCACTCATAAGGGATTAATAAAAACCAATGAAAGCCAATCAGATCGGCGCCTTTATGATGAGTAATGCGCCCAATATCCTCGATTGTTAATCAGGGGAAAAATATCATTTAATACGGCCAAAACGTGCTTCACCGAAATAACGGTTTTAGACCCTAGGCCTCTTTGGACCAAATCCTTTTCAGGACATCTGGAGTCGATATAACGATGTCCGTCTCTCTGTCTGTCTGGCTGGCTGGTGCGCATGATAATTCTCGAAGAGAGTATCCGATTTGGTCCAAGCTTGGTGCATCGTAATATTTTTGTCAAACTTAGATGGAGTTCGGAGATGGGCAATATCGGTTCACTCCTTCTGGTTCCTCCACCACAAACGGTCGAAATTCACAAAAAAATATATTTTCTGCACAGAAGGAGAAACGATAATACTTTTTTCCCAACTTTCAAAATCCTAGTTCCAGGTCATGTGCGAAAATGGACAATATCGGCCCACTCTATCAAGTACCTCCCCCAAAAAAGTTGAAAATTTTGAAAATTTTCAACTTTTATAAAATGTGATGTTACATATTAGACGGACCCATCTGGCAACGCCATAACTTTTGACAGAGATGTCACATCGCTTAATGACATACCGCGTTTGAAGCATCAGTCCAAGCAGATTTTTACCATGAACCAACACACGCCACGCGAGCGCTCTGAAATTTACAAGAAGTCAATTGTGAAAACTCAACGTGCTTTTAAAACATTAAAAAATGTGAGAAGTGCGCCTTCTAAGAACACCATTAAGCGTTTATACGAACAATGTTCGACTGGTAAGGCTCTTTCTAATCCGAAGAGTCCATATACAAGTCGACCAAGGCGATCGGCCGAGAACATCGCTGCCGTACGAGCCAGTGTTGAGAGGTCCCCAAGAACATCCCAAAAACGCCGTTCTCAGCAGTTGGTCATGGCTCGGTCCACTTTACAACGGATTATTCGCATTGATTTGCATTTGTTCCCGTACAAAATTCAATTGACGCAAAGAATGTTGCCTGCGGACAAGCCTCGTCGATTGGAATGGGCCCAAAGGGGCCAAAGGTCCGTCGAATATGGGCAACCCGTAAGAGTCCGATTGTCTTCAAATTTCACACATCCCATAACCCAAGGTATGGTATCAAGATGGAATATATCGGTCCATTCCTTCTGGTACTTCCCCCACAAAAGGTCGAACGTTTGAATTTCCATAAAACGCGAAATAAACATCCGATTCCATTCAGACTTGGCACATCTCTATATTTCTATCAACACAGGACCTGTTATAAAGACGGTAGAGATCGGACCATACCATCTGGTACCTCCCCCACAAAAAGTCAAAGTTTTGAATAACCAAAACGTTTATAAAAACCGAAATAAGCATCAGCTTCTCTTTATATTTTACACATACAAACATTTTTGCTAACATAAGTCATCGGCTGACTTCTTCGGAAAAGAGCAAGGGAGTGTAGAGCCAAAATCGAACTATGTCAACCTAAAATTCATTTGTTTCTCTATGAATAAGCCAGCCAATGACTTGAAACAGCCAAAAAAGCGTTTCATGTATTTTCACCTTTACGTCTCCCAACTCACTACGCATACCTAGAAGGTAACTTTAGGCTCGGAAAGCTTTATTATTCAAAGCAACCTTCCAAAAACAGATCGTATAAGCAAAACAAAAAACTACTTTTGTGTTAAAGAAACCTTACACTGTCATCCTCCACCATTCTATGGAGGGTATATTAACTTTGTCATTCCGCTTGAACTCCTCGAAATATTCATAATAGGCCCTGCAAAGTATATATATTCTAGATCAGCGTAAAATTCTATGATGATCTAGCGGTGTCCGTCTGCATGTGTGTTGTAATCACGCTATCCTTCGAACGAATTGTGATAGAAGGATACAATTTTGTATACATGCATAGTTTACCAGTAAGGAAGTTAAGTTCGTAAATGGGCCATTTCGGGCCACGGTTTCGTATAGCCCCCATATCGGTACCTCCTGATATTTGGTATTTTCATGATTTTAGCGGCATAATTTACCAGAATTTTTTGAAATTTCGTGTTTAAAGTTCGTAATGGGTACTACACCCTAAGACAGAAAATTTTCTGTGCAGGTCCACCTCTTGGTATAGCCCTCATGTAACGGTGCCTCCCGATATTCTGTATTTTGATGATTTTAGTAACATTATTCACCGAATTTTTTTAAGTTTCGCATTTGAATATTGTAATGGCTTATGACTAAAGCTACCTATGCAGGTCCATGTCGTTGTATAGACCCTAATATAACAGCTACATTCGGTATTTTTTAAGATTTTAACAGAATTGTTAACGGATTTTATTGTCTTTGAGAATTGCCAAATTTGTTCCAAATTGTGGAGGGTATTACTTCTACCGAGCTTACTTCTAAATTGACTAAAGTTTCTTTCTTTTTTTTTTTTTGCACCACAGATGCACTTCCACACCTCGGGCATTGAAAGTCTCTACGAATTTATACCGCAGGATATGTTGCCTGAAGAATATGGAGGAACCGCGGGAAAATTGGCTGATTTTAAGGCTCAGTTTCTTGAAAAAGTTATGGAGAAAAGGTAAGAAAAATAACTTATTGGATTAAAATGTTTTATAATAATTAATAATTGTCTCGTTTCTTACAGAGATTATCTAATGGATCCACAATATTGGGAGCTTGAAAAAGCCTAAGGGAGGCGGAGTATGAATTCTAAAATTATTTGTATATATCTGCATGTTATCTAGTTACAAATGTATAAGATCTAGTTTAGTATAATTTACAAAAAGAATGTATTTTTAATTGCAAATCATCACAAGACCATTTACATAAATATATAACTGGAATTTCGGCAAATAAAACCACTGAATTTTAGTAAATTGCCATTCAAGGTTTAAAATATTGAAAATTGCGGACACCGTGAACCGAACACCTTGGACTTCTCCAGTAAAGATGAGAATACATAGAACACTTTTTTGACTGGCTTAAGTCATCGGGTCGGCACAACCAAATTCGGCAGTTCAGTACTTTCGGCCAAGCCAAGCAACTCTGTAGCTCTTGTCTATTTTCTTTCTGTTGCGGTGTAAGTTCTTGCATTGCTCATTTTTCAATATTTGCCGAATGGAATATGCAATATGTTCAGCTCACGAGCCATTTTTCGGTCACTGCGACGCGGATTTCGATTAAGTCGCTTCATTACTTTTCGAACCATTTCTGTTGATGTTGCCATTTTCTTCCGTCCACTTCCTTGACGTCGGGCTACGCTACCAGTATCACGATAATAAGCGATGTAACGAGATACAAAAGACTTATACACTTTAATAGAAGAGTTCATTTTTCCTAACCCAAGCATGAAAAAATGAGAGCAAAATGGAGTACACTTTGTCAAGTGAATTTTATACCCACATCACAGGTGTATTGGAACCACAGAGAGATTATTGCCTATCGCTGTCCCAGAATACCGACCACCACTGAAGGAAATAATACTTCGAATTTGAAATGAGGGATTATATCATATTCCAGTTCTTAAAATCAATATTGGGTTATTATACCCTTAGCTATATGGCAAGAGAGGGTATATATCATTTGATAGGTCAAAACTTGCCTAGTCGAAATAACGGTTTTAGACCCTAGGTCTCTTTAGACCAAACCCTTGTTAGGACATTTGGAGTGGAACTAGCGATGTCCGTCTGTCTGTCTGGCTGGTGCGCACGATAACTCTCGAAGGCAGTATCCGATTTGGTCCAAACTTGGTATATCGTAATATTTTTGACAAACTTAGATCGACTTCGGAGATATTGCCCGGTCCACTTCATCTGGTACCTCCCCCAAAAAAGGTCAAAATTTTCGTAGAAAACAATTTAACGGGATGAGAACGGCTAATATTTCAATAATTTTTTCCAAACATTGCAAATCGTAATATTAGCATAGCCGCAAGATCGGGTGCGAGAATGGACAAGATCCAACTACTCCTTCCAGTACCACCACACAAAGGGTCAAAATCAATAATTAAAACTCTTATGAAATGTGATGTAACATTCCGATTGTCTTCAAATTTAACACATCCCAATATTTTTATTAACCCAAGATCTGGTGATAAGATTGAATATATTGGTCCAATCCTTCTGGTACCTCCCCACAAAAGATCGAAATTTTCAAAAAAGAAATATATTTTCTGCACAGAAATTGAAGCAATAATCCTATATAGCTCCCACTTTGCAAATCCAAATATAAGCCTCAGTTCTAGGTCAGGTGCGAAAATGGATAATATCGGTCCACTCCATCAAGTGCCTCCCCCACAATGAGTCAAAATTATGAATAATTATAAAACTTATAAAATGTTATGTAAAAGTCCGATTGTCTTCACATAGTCAAATATTTTTATAAACCCAAGATGAAGATGGAATATATCGGTCCACTCCTTCTGGTACCTCCTCCAAATTTTGAATACCCATTAAGCTTATAAAACGCGAAATTTATATGTGATTCCTTTTAGGCACATGGGAATACTTCCAACACAGGATCTGTTATAAAGATGGTTGAGATCGGACAATTCCTTCTGGTACCTCACCCACAAAGGGTCAAAGTTTTGAATAACTAAAACCTTTATAATATCCGAAATAAGCATCAGTGTCTCTTCATATCTCACAGATCCCATTATTTCTACTAACACAAGATCTGTTGTAAAGATGTAATATATCTGCGAACCCCTTTTTATGCCTCACCAGCAAAGAGTCACAAAGGTTCGATACGAAATGGTCAATATTGGCCCAGTCCTGCGGAACACCAACAATTTGAATAATCATAACAGAAGTCAAAATATCTGTCGGCAAAACCAACTGATACCTCTTTACTTGTTAAAAATGCGTCTACTCGTAATGCAGAAGGTAGTTTGCTTACAATAACTGTTTTTATACCCTCCACCTTGGAAAGGAGGGTATATTAACTTTGTCATTCCGTTTGTAACATCCTTAAATATTCGTCTTAGACCCCATAAAGTATATATATTCATAATCAGCATAAATTCTAAGTCGATTTAACGATCTCCGTCTGTGTGTCTGTCCGTCCGTCTGTCTGTCCCTCTGTCTGTCTGTCTGTCGGGTCCCTGAGCGTGTGGCAAAACATTGCATGTATATGTCCATGTTGTGGTATAGACCCCACATAAAGGTACCTCCCGATATTCGGTATTTTAGTTTTTTTTTTTTTGCCATATTTTTTCACTGATTTGTCTAAAAATTGGTATTTGTGGGTCATAATGGTTTCCAGCTCCGGTGGCGAAACATTGCATGTATGGGTCCATGATTTGGTATAGCCCCCATATAACGGTACCTCCCGATATTGGGTATTTTGATGATTTTTGCCACATTTTTCACGGAATTGTCTAAAAATTGGTATTTGTTGGTCATAATGGGTTCCAGCTCCAGTTGCGAAACATTGCATGTGTAGGTCCACGATTTGGTATAGCCCCCATATAACAGTACCTCCCGATATTCGGCATTTTAATGGTTTTTGCCACATTTCTTCTAATGTTTCCTTTACCCTATGGTGGAGGGTATTAAAAGTTTGGCCCGGCCGAACTTAATGTTTTTTTTTTACTTGTTTATTTTATTTTTTTTTTTTTTTGTTGCTGATAGAACTATCATATTTTAACTGCGATGTGGCAAACGACCACAGCTGTGGCTATATTGCGAAAATCTGTCGATTCCTTCAAATGTATGTAGGTTGAGGATATATAGAAATCATGCAAATATTTTCCAATTCTAAGCATGCGCAAAAAAAATTTCTATTTAAAGTTTTAAAATATATGCAAAAGCCGAGTTTTAGTCACCACAAATAAACGGTATTAAAATTGCGTTCAATGCCGTCTGCTATTAATTGTTGTGTTCTAAATCAAAGTATTAATATTAGGAACGCAAACAAGTAAAAAACATTTAGTTCGGCCATGCCGAAATTTTAATACCCTTCACCATTGGGTAAATAAAACATTTTTATATAAACGTATCTGAATTCAAACGTGTTCCACATTAAACTACAAAAACCAGTTAAAACGTTTGGATAATGCTGTTAAACTGTTAAAAAAAACCACAAAGTGTGTGAGACCATATAAAACGGGAACCTCTACAGACAATTTTATACTTCAAAGATTGTCATCTACCAAACTTTCTTAAATACCAAATTTGAAGCAATCTCGTGGGTAAATGTGACTAGGATTATTAAAATATCAAATATCGGTGGGTATCGTTATATGTATGCAATCAGAAAACGTGGAAATTCAATATTCTGCCGCCAGAGCTAGAGTCCATTATCATCAAAATACCGAATATCGGGAGGTACCGTAATATGGGAGCTATACTAATACGTGAACCCATACATACTATGTTCCGCCACCGGAGCTAGAACCCATTACGAACTACTAATATCAATGTTTAGAGAAATCCGTGAAAAATGTGAAAGAATCATCAAAATGCCAAATATCGGGAGGTACCGTTATATGGCGGCTATACCAAAAGGTAGACCTATACATACAATGTTTCGCCACCGGAGCTAGAACCCATTATGATCTACAAGATACCAATTTTTAGACAAATCCTTGGAAAAATCATCAAAACGCCGAATATCGGGAGGTACCATTATATGTGGGCTATACAAAAACGTGGATCTATATATACATTGTTTCGCCACTGGAGCTAGAACCCATTATGACCAACTAATTCCAATTTTTCGACAAATCCATGAAAAAAAATTTAAAAAAAAATCATTAAAATACCGAATATCGGGAGGTATCGTTATATGGTCACCATACAAAAATTTGGACCGATATATCTCATTTTTAATACCAACCATCCTAGACACAATACAAATTGTTTTGCCAAATTTTGAAGCTCTACGTCAAATAATGTGGTCTGTATTGTGATTTCAACAGACAGACAGGCAGAAGGATTTCGTTAAATCAGAATTTTATGCTGATCATGAATATATACTTTATGGGGACTACGACGAATATTTAGGGATGTTACAAACGGAATGACAAAGTTAATATTCCCTCCTTTTCAAGGTGGACGGTATAAAAACACGTTCATTTCGTAACAAGTAACACACCAAGTACCAAAAAGAAACAACTGAGAATACACATCGGCACCCCATTGTTCGACCAGTTTAAACCGAGAGAGATTATTTCTCTTTCTAAACATAATCCAAATTATTTATACAAAAGTACATGTACATATATGAACTTATACAATAAACAAAATAACCGATTTTAACATTGAACCGGGATTGATTTTATCTTCAATATTTTCAGCGACACAAATTAAACTGAGAATCCATGCGAAGAGAATTAGAAAACAATTTGAGAATCATGTTTCCAATTTTAAATCGTCATTCAAATGAGTGTGCTGTTAGTTAATATATTACCATTTAACTAATAACTTGTTTCGGATTTATTCTCTGACAAACGTCCCTCGATATATTGACAAAAATAAAATGGAAATATCCGGTGATTTGGAACAAGAAAAAATTATTGATGAATTGCAAACTTGGTTTGAAAATCATCCCAAATTACCAAAGAAAATAAGTAAGTTAACGAAATAAAACAGAGCATAACTTAGACTATTTATTTTACGAAAAAGCCAGCCGATGACTTAAGGTGCAAGTAAATAAAAGGCTTTTTTACTGGCTTATGGCATCGACCGGCTTCTTCGTGAAAAAAACAAAGAAGTTTTAGCTTGGCTTATTTAAATTTCGGTCCATAGTTTATACTTGCTCACCCTACGGTTCTTTTTCTTTCACGAAGAAACCAGCCGATGACTTAAGCTAGTAAACATCTTGTTCAATGTGTCCTGACCTTTGAACCAGTTAAATAAACCCTAGACTAGCTGCACTTTGCTTAATATTTTTTTCGACAAATACAAGATTTTCCTCTACAGCAGATAATATAACGCCAATGACACCATGATAACATTTTTTGACCGTGTTTTTGCGTTTTAGTGCTTCTCCTGCCAAAAAAGCGTTTTATGTTTTCTCGCCTAAGATAGCTATAAACTACTTGTTTTGTGGTCTCACCTTATTGCAAGTTTGACATATCAATTAAAAACAAGTAAAATGCTGTAATTTCGGCCTGGCCGAACTTTGAATACCCTCCACCATTTGGAACGAATTTGGTTATTTTCAAAAAAAAAAAAATCTGTTAAAAGTTATGTTAAAATCCTAAAAATATCAAATATAGCCGTCATATTAGAATCTAAACGACGACGCAATTTTCGTCATGAGCCATTAAAATATTCAAATGCGAAACTTGAAAAATATTCGCTGAATAATGAATCTAAAATCATTAATATAATACTATTATATGGGTGCTATACCAAAATGTGGACTATTGCGGACAACTTTCTGCCTTAGGCTTAGTATCCATTACGAACTTCAAATACCAAATTTGAAACCATTCCGGTGAATAAATTCGCTAAAATCATCAAAATACCCTATATCGGGAGGTACCGTTATATGGGGACTATACGAAGACGTGGAGCTGCAAAGACAATTTTCTGCCTTAGGCTGTAGTATCCGTTACGAACTTCAAATACAAAATTTCAAATAATTCCGATGAAAAATGTTGCTAAAATCATCAAAATACCCAATATCGGAAGGCACCGTTATATGGGGGTCATACGAAGACATGGACCTGTACAGACAATTTTTTGCCTTAGGCTGTAGTATCCATTACGAACTTCAAATACAAAATTTCAAATAATTCCGATGAAAAATTGTCGCTCAAATCATCATAATACCGAATATCGGGATTATATGGGGGTTATACGAAGACGTGGACCTGCACAGACAATTTTCTGTCTTAGGCTGTAGTATCCATTACGAACTTCAAATACCAAATTTGAAACCATTCCGGTGAATAAATTCGCTAAAATCATCAAAATACCCAATATCGGGAGATACCGTTATATGGGGGCTATACGAAGACGTGGAGCTGCAAAGACAATTTTCTGCCTTAGGCTGTAGTATCCGATACAAACTTCAAATACAAAATTTCAAATAATTCCGATGAAAAATGTTGCTAAAATCATCAAAATACCCGATATCGGAAGGCACCGTTATATGGGGGCTATACGAAGACGTGGAGCTGCAAAGACAATTTTCTGCCTTAGGCTGTAGTATCCGTTACGAACTTCAAATACAAAATTCCGATGAAAAATGTTGCTAAAATCATCAAAATACCCAATATCGGAAGGCACCGTTATATGGGGGCTATACGAAGACGTGGGCCTGTACAGACAATTTTTTGCCTTAGGCTGCAGTATCCATTACGACCTTCAAATTCCAAATTTGAAACAATTTCGGTGAATAATGTCGCTAAAATCATTAAAATACCCAATATCGGGAGGTACCGTTATATGGGGGCTATACGAAGTCGTGGAGCTGCAAAGACAATTTTCTGCCTTAGGCTGTAGTATCTATTACGAACTTTCAAATAATTCCGTTGAAAAATGTCGCTAAAATCATCAAAATACCGAATATCGGGAGGTACTGTTATATGGGGGCTCTACGAAGACGTGGACCTGCACAGACAATTTTCTGTCTTAGGCTCTAGTATCCATTATGAACTTCAAATACCAATTCCGGTTAATACTGTCGCTAAAATCATCAAAATATCGAATATCGGGAGGCATCCTTATATGGGGGCTATACCAAAACGTGGACCTACATGTCCCATTTTCAATACCAAAAGTCCTGCAGATATAACACACATTTGAGTAAAATGTTATCAACCTACTTCATTTCGTTCGGAAGCTAGAGTGATTTCCCCAGACGGACAGACGGACGGACATCGCTAAATCAACATAGAATTTTATGCTGATCAAGAATATATATATACTTTGTGGGGTCTAAAATGTATATTTCGAGGTGTTACAAACGGAATGATAAATATAATATACTCTCCGTACAAGGGGGGAGGGTTTAATAAAATATGCTTGCTTGAAAAAAAATTGTTTTTTAAGGAACACAACGTGACGTCAGAAACGTTATTTTCTTTACATATTTGAGATCTTGTTTGGTCGTATAAAAGCATTTAATGGTTTTCTTCTCTAAGTTCATGAACTTGTTGCTACGCCCTTATTTAGCATTTTGTATATATTTATTTCAAAATAACTGGTACTGGATAACTGGCAATAATGATTCGTATACATATCCAACAGATCGCATACTTTTGACCCGTTTCTACTACTGTATGTTCAAAGATGTGAAGGAAACGAAGAACTTATTAGAAACAAACTATAGGCTGAGACAGAACGCGGGGGGTGTCTTTATACAACGCGATCCCAGCGACAAAGACACCCAAGCATCGGCTGCTTATGCGTAAGTTTTTTTCTCTGATATGTTTTCATTACTTCTAAAATATATTTTATTTGATTTTCCAGAGATATTGTATTTTTACCTGGATTAACACCTTATAAATATCGGGCCTCAGTTTTACGTATTAGCGATCCAGATCCAAATAAGGTAAATAATCTTAAAGCAAATATTTCGTAACAGTTTATAGAGTCTTCCTGTCATGCAGATGGACCATCTCAGAGATATTAAAACCTATTTTATGGTTTCCGATTATCGTTTTGCCCTGCCCGATGCGCAGGATCCAACCACAGGCCTTGACCTCTTGGCCCAGGGTGAAATTATAATTATAGATATGGCAAATTTCACCATGAAACATATGACCCGTGTTTCGATTAGAGCACTGCGGATTTGCATTAACTATTTGCAGCGTGGCTATCCTGTGCGCATAAAGAGCATTCATTTGATCAATTGTCCACCCTATATGAATAGAATTCTTTCAATTGTAAGGCCGTTTATAAATAAGCAGATTTTGGAATTGGTAAGAACTCTACTGGGATGGATATCCAATATTTTAATTTTCAGGTTATATTAAAAGTTTCGCTTTGAATTGTCAAGCTGTATAGAAATGCCCGAGCTTTACACAATAGAAATAAAATGTCAAACCGAGAATATGATTTATTTACGATTTTCTTCCTTTAAAAATTTCCATTGTGTTTAGATACATTTTCATAATGACAATCTGGAACTACTTTACAATTTTGTGCCCAAGGAAATGTTGACAGAAGAATATGGGGGTCCCTGCCGCAAGATGAGCGATCATAAGGATCAACTATTGCAATCGTTAATAGATACACGGTAATTTAATTTCAATAGAGTGCAATTCAAATATTAGTTATGTTTTTGTCCACAGGAATTATCTTATGGATCCCGATTACTGGAAGGTATGAAGAAATCTAAAAGGAATAAACTACCTCCTGACGATACATTATTTCGTGCTTTTATTTTTTTAAGAATAAAGAAATATGCTTAGAATTATTTAAATATGTTTTACTTTTATCAATTGTAAAAATTCTCAAAAACAAAATGGATATTCTGAAAATATTTTAACTTATAATATGTATGACGTATATGGGTACCGCAAATTTTTCCGCAAATACGCTTTTTATACCCTCCACCATAGTATGGAGGGTATATTAAGTTTGTCATTCCGTTTGTAATACCTCGAAATATACATTTTAGACCTCACAAGGTATATATATTCTTGATCAGCATAAAATTCAATGTCGATTTATAGATGTCCGTCTATCCGCCTGTGGAAATCACACTAGCTTCCGAACGAAATTAAGTAGGTTGATAAAATTTTACAGCCTGTGACAAAAATTGGCCGTGCAGGTCCACGCCTTCGAATAGCTCCCATATAACGGCACCACCCGATATTCGGTATTTTAATGATTTTAGCGACATTATTCACCGGAATTGTTTCAAATTTGGTATTTGAAGTTCATAATGGATACTACAGCCTATGATAGAAAATTGTCTGTGCAGGTATAGCCCCGATATAATGGTACCTCCCGATATTCAGCATTTTAATGATTGTAGGTACTTTATTCGCCGATTTTTATACCCTCAGTCACATGGCTACAAAGGGTATATATCATTTGATTTGGTCAAAACGTGCCTAGTCGAAATAACGGTTTTAGACCCTAGGTCTCTTTGGACCAAATCCGTTTCAGGACATTTGAATTCGATCTAGCGATGTCCGTCCGCCCGCCTGGCTGGCTGGCTGGTGCGCATGAGAACTCTCGAGGGAAGTATCCGATTTGGTACAAACTTGGTACATCGTAATTTTTTTGTCAAACTTAGAAAATATATTTTTTGCCCATAAAGAGAACCGATAATCCGATTTTGCTCCATCGTTGCAAATCCTAATATTTGCGTCAGTGCTACGTCAGTTGCGAAAATGGAAAATATCGGTCCACCCCATCAAGTACCTCCCCCACAAAGGGTCAAAATTTTGAATAACTACATTTCTTATAAAAAGTGATGTAAAAATCCGATTGCCTTCAAATTGCACACATCCCAATATTTATATTAACCCAAGGTCTGATGTTAAGATGGAATATATGGGTTCACTCCTTCTTTTTTCAAAAAAAAAAAAATATTTTTTTTTTGCACAGAAAGGGAGGCAATAATCCGAGTTTACTCCAATTTTGCAAATCCTAATATTTGAGTCAGTTCTAGGTCAGGTGCAAAAATGGATAATATCGGTCCAATATCGGTCCACAGAGTTGATTTATGCATGTCAGTCCGTCCGTCCGTCTGTCCATGTATTCTTGTGAACAAAATGCAGGTCGCATTTATTATCCGATTGAGATGAAATTTACCAAACAAAATTTGCTTAGCCCAAGGACGAACCCTATTGAAATTGGAGAAAATCGGTAAAAAATTAGATATAGATCCCATATATATCTTCGTCCGATTTGCCTTTTATTATGCACCAAACGTGTAATATCAGCCCGAATAGTATGGAATTTTGCCCATACAACCAAATTAGGCCTGAAAAAAAGTATGCCAAATTTGATCGCAATCGGTTCAGATATAGCTATAGCTCCCATATATATCCGATTCATCCGATTTGTTATTTTTGTCCTCCGCAGCCGTAATATCCACTCTGTAACAACAATATTCAGGGAAATATATCAAATACAGCTCAGAAATACCTTTGCTAAATTTTATCGAAATCGGTTCAGATTTGGATATAACTCCCATATATAACTTCGTCCGACTTACCTTTTATTGTGCACCAAACGTCTAATATTGCCCAAATGGGATGGAATTTGGCACATACGACCGAATTGAGTCTAGAAGAAGCTCCCATATATATTTTTATCTGATTTCAAATTAATTTTGCACCAAATTGGCAATACAAGTCCGAATTTAAAAGATACAAATGCTTCGGCATCTTTAGTCCTTTGAACTTTAAATTATAATTAAAATAATAGCGTGTATGATTGAATTCTCCCATAAAAACTTTTAATTGTTATGTGGAGCTCAACTAAATTAACAAAGTGCTGTAGGGTATCATAAAATCGGCCCGCCCGACTTTAGGACTTTCTTTACTGGATAAATTTCCATTAAGCTCATAAAACATTGGATTCCATTTAGATTTGGAACATCAGAATATTTCTATTAACACAGGATCGGTTAAAAAACGGTAGAGATCGGACCATTCCTTCTGGTACCTCCCCCACAAAGGGTCAAAGTTTTAAATAACCAAACGTTTATAAAATCCGAAATAAGCATCAGGTTCTCTTTTTATTTCACACATCCCATTATTTCCACTAACAAAAGGTCCGTTGTGAAGATGGGATATATCGGTCCACTCCTTCTGGTACCTCCCCCACAAAGGCTAAACATTTTGATTATCCATGAAAAAAAGCGTTTTATGTATTCTCACCTTAACTTTTGCGGTGATTGACCCTGCTTTAGACAATATGTTGAGTCTTACAACAAGATCCTGCAAAATTCTGGCAGTTTGATTTTTTTTTTTTTTTGCATATAGAACAATTTTTGTTCGTAATTTTTTCGTAAAAAAACAAAGGAGCGTAGAGCGAGAGTATGGGTCGAAATTGCTCTAAGTCAACCTAAAACTCCTTTGTTTTTTACAGAGGAACCGGCCGACGACTTAAACCAGTAAAAAGCTCTTTAAGTACTTGCACCTTTAAACCATTGAAAAACCTTCTATGTAACTAGTTTATAATATATAAATATTGACAAAATTTTCATTGTAGGACGCCAGGGTTTGGAAACAACATCTAATTGCTTCACTTAAATATTTTGGACTTTGTATACTCCTCCTTAATACGAGTATTCCTATTACTTTTAATTTTCATCATTACGAACAATGTATGAACCTACGCAGACATGAAATCATTCATGCGCATCTAGTTGTTTTATAATGCCGGTAATAGTTGTAAATATATAAATATTATTAACAATTCCAAAAAAAACGGACAGCTGATTCGGCACATTACACATGAAATTGCTACTGTGGATAGCCAAATGTCTACAGTGGGTCGGTGGGTATGTGCGTTCATGCATTTGTCAAAACAAACTAATTACAGCTGTGGAAACAGACAACCATCCAAAAATTGAGTCTTGTTTAAATGCGTGTGTGAGAGGCCGAGAGTACTGTTCGTCTGTCATGGAAAATGAGAGAGGGCTTTATGCGCGCACTGAGGCATTCAATGGATTCAGTTACAAACAACATTCCTTTGAAGACGTACAAAGACTTGCAAATAAACGGAAAATCCTTCGCATCAAATAACAATAACAATAAAGAAAAACACCAAAATAAACAAATGGCTAAATAAGCTAGTTTTCTTTTAAACGCTGCTTCTTAGTTGTAGATATCGCCAGCCTTAAATTTAGTGGAGTTTAAGTTAATATTCTTCTTTACAAATATTCCTGAGTGCAAATAGCAAAATTCTTGTTAAATATACTCCCGAAACAGGAAGTGAACATTTAAAACAAGACCTACAATGCAAGCCAAAGGCGACGAAGAGCAAGAGCAAACCATTGATTTTTTGCAAAAATGGTTTGAAGACAATCCAAAATTGCCAAATAAAATTGGTGAGTGAATATTGTATTAAAATATTTTTGCCTGGGAAATGGGTAGTGAACAAATATTTACTCTAAATATTGTGACCTTTGTGTCAACTCCTTTGTTTATCAAAATAGCTACCCCATCACACGTGTTTAACTCAGTGACCGCCAAAATGAAATCGATAACGATAACAAGATATATTAGGATGGAATCAAAAGTTAGGGGTTCAAAGAATTCTGCAAAGTTTAAAACTTTAGGGTGGGAATACATAAAGCGCTTATTTGGCTGGCTTAAGCCATAGGCTGGCTTCTTCGTAGAGGAACAAAGGAGTTTTAGGTTGACTTAGTTCGATTTTGGCCAAAGGCTCATTTGTTAATTTCCGAAGAAGCCAGCCAAAAAAGCGCTTTATGTATTCCCACCTTTATAGTTTTCAACAATGTAGCATGTACATACGGGAAATAACTCTTCGAATACATTTAAATTTGCAAGATGACTAGCAAATGTATTAGATATCCTATCTTGAGTCGAAATTACTTCCGACCAAATTTATGCTATGTTTACGTTAGAACTTTTTGTAAGGTTAACCTACTTTGAGAGGATTTATTTGAAGTATAAATAATGGATATGACAATTTTAATCCAAATCCAGTCGGTTAACCCATTTATATATAAACGTACTGTTAGAGGGTTCATATTTGGCAGAAGTGGATTTATACATTCTATTTGTGTCTTAATTTGTCCGTATAGATGACTAAGTAATGGTTTGGTAAGAAAAAGCATGATGCTTGAAACTTATGATACTGAGACTTATAAGGTCCTATTAAAGCTCAAGAATAGCTCATTCATAATTTTGCGTTTTAAGTTTACCGATATTTGTCGATAATTCAAAAAAAAAAAAAAAACAGTCAAACAAACCACTTTAGAAGTGTAGGATTTTAGAGTGTTTTAACCAGTGTATTAACTTTCATTAGCAGGATTTATTGCTTAAATCTGGATATGTTCTACCAGATTTACCCATTTACCACCAAATGTTTCTACCCAAGATCTTAAGGTGAGAATACATATAACGCTTCTCTGACTGGCTTAAGTCATTGGCTGTCTTCTTTGTACAGGAACTAAGGAGTCCTAGGTTGACTTAGTTCGATTTTGGCCCTACACTCCTTTATTCTTTTCCAAAGAAGCCAGCAGATGACTTAAGCCAGTCAAAAAAGCTCTTTATGAGCTTGCACCTTTAATACGACAGCATGTTTGTGTCTCATTCGCAATCTATAGCTATCTCCAATAAATCGAAAAGTAGAAACGGGGTGTCAACGTTGCTTAACGTCAGCATTTGGGTGACAGACAAAAAGCTTTTTCTGACCTCTTACTACAGAGTAGGTCGATAGATGATGCAGACATGATCAGAACCCCGCCATGGAAACTAAAACAGGATATCTTAAATCTAAACAGGATGTATATCTCCGTACGTCATCATATTTAAATCATACACGATATAGAGAGGAAATTCCAAGTTTATACGAGATTGCTTCTTAATCAGCAATCCATCATAATTCGTGTTGGGCGCCAACTATGAAATATGTAAAAAATACAGGGTGAGATAAAAAAAACTGCAACCAAGTCATACGCCACAATTTTTACACTTTTTTATTTGAATGAAAGCAAAAAATTTCGGAAATAGCATCAAATTTTAGAATAAGTTTAGATTTGTTCGAATTGGTCACCTTTGACACGAATTATGATCTTCAAACCGCCAATGAAACCGTCACATGCTTGCTTGAGGTGATCGACACTTTGGTATTTTTAGTGCCAACCTTGCTTTCTAAAATACTCCAGACACAATAATCCAACGGATTGGTATTTTGGTGGCCATTGTGCACTGGAAATGAAGCGAGGAACCTCATTTTGTAACCATTGTGCTATGGTGCTGAGTCCTGTTGGAATGTCCAAGGTCTACGTTCAAAATGTTTGCGTGCCCAAGGCTTTAATACACCCTCCAGAATATTTTCGGGATAATATTCGGTCGTCTGATGTCACGGTTGATTAATACGAGCAGAGAACGACTATCGGCTGTTATGGTGGCCCACACCATCACCATGGCCGGCGCTTGAGTTCTGGTGGTCAACTGAAGGTGCACATTTTCAGCTGACCTCTTTGGCGAGTAAACACGATCATTTTGTTTGTCTACAAACTGCTGGACAACGAATGTTTTCTCATCGGAGAAAACCAAATTCGGCAGTTCACCACTTTCGGCCAAGTGAAGCAACTCTCTAGCTCTTTTGAGTCTAGTTTCTTTCTGTTTTTGTTGCGGTGTAAGTTCTTGCAGTTTTGGGAATTTCAATGGCTTTACCACGAGCTCATTTTTCAATATTTGCGAATGGAATATTATGATATGTCCAGCTCACGAGCCATTTTTCGGTCACTGCGAAGCGGGTTTCGATCAAGTCGCTTCTTTACTTTTCCAACCATTTCTGCTGATGTTGCTGTTTTCTTCTGTCCACTTCCTTGACGTTACCAGTATCACGGTAACGAGCGATGGTACGAGACGTGAAAGATTTATTCACATTTAAATGCTGGAGTGCTCTAACGATAGTCACTTGTGGTTTTCCAACCAAATATAAAGAAATCACACTATCACGCTTAAATTCCATCACGAAGAACTTTTTTTCTGGAAAATTCTCACCAAAATGCTTTTGTACGCTTGTGAACAATATAATGAGCTGTCACTGGAATAATTTTAACAGCTATCGGACGAGTGGCTTAGAAATGACAGCAGTCTGATTGCACTTTTTTATTTCACCCTGTATGTTTAGCTTGCAATATTGGCTCGCACACCCAGCCTACCCAAATATCTTCTGAAAATTGATTGCCTATTGAAAAAACGAATATATGGCCCTCTTACTTATTTATTTGAAATTCTATGTAAATGGCATCTAACGATTTGTCATCTCATTGATGATAAACGCTAAATATTATCCAATCACTGTTCGATTAGACATAAATATGCACGGCACAATGCTCTTGCGGTCATTAAAAGAATATTATTGGCGGCAGTGGTGTGAGGCTAACGTCCGAAAGCAATTATAAGATCGTTTTACAGTTAACTGAATATGGATTTCAAAAAATAAAAAAAAAATAATGAAGATACACGTTTCAACAATTTTGTAAAATGAAAGACAGGCACTGGAAGTAAACAAAAAAGGATGCAAATAAAGACCATTATACAGGTCGTGTAAGCACAACGAAAAACTACTACTGTGATTGAAAAGCCCGCATACTGCTAATATTTGTGTGTACATTGTCACACGTTGAATTTGCAATTACATGCGTTTTGAAAATACGATAAATAAAATTGAATTGTTGAATGAAAAATTTTTAAAATTTATAAAAATTGTTGGAAAATGCATATCATAATAACCTCCAATTTCTGTCGTATAAGAAAACGTATAAAAATCTAAAAATCACCAGTAAAGAAAGTCTTAAAGAAAGACTTTATGATACCCTACACCACTTTGCTAATTTAGTAGAGCTCCGCATAACAATTAAAAGTTTTTATGGGAGAATTCAATCATACACGCTATGATTATAATTATAATTTAAAGTTCAAACGACTAAATATGCCGTAGCATTTGTATCTTTCAAATTCGGACTTGCATTGCCCATTTGATGCACAATTAATTTGAAATCGGATAAAGATATATATGGGAGCTATATCCAAATCTGAACCGATCTCCATAAAATTTAGCAAAGATATATCTGAGCTGTATTTGTTATATGAATATCGTTATTACGGAGTGCATATTACGGCTATGGGTAACAAATATAACAAATCGGATGAACAATATATATGGGAGCTATAGCTATATCTGAACCGATTTCGATTAAATTTGACTAATTGGACTAATATTAGACGTTTGCTACACAATAAAAGGTAAATCAGACGAAGTTATATATGGGCTATCTATAAATATATCTGAACCGATTTCGATCAAATTTGGGATACTTATTTTCAGGCCTAATTTGGTTGTATGTTCAAAATTCCATCCCATTTGGACAAATATTAGACGTTTGGTGCACAATAAAAGGTAAATGGGACGAAGTTATGCATGGGAGCTATATCCAAATCTGAACCGATCTCGCTAAAATTTAACAAATGTATTATTGAGTTTTTTTTTTTTTGACCGATCATCTCCAATTTCAAAAGGGTTCGTCCTTGAGCCCAACAAATGATTTGTGCAAATTTTCATCTGGATAGGACAATAAATGCCAACTGTACTTTGTTTACAAAAACACATGGACAAACGGACGGACAAACATGCATAAATCGACTCAGAATGTGATTCTATGCAGATCATCAAAAGGAACTATGGGTCTATCTCGTTTTTTGCCTGTTGCAAACAAATGCACAGAGACATAATACCCTTACTTCTATGTGGTGTAGGGTATAAAAATTGGCTTTTGTTTTCTATCGTTAATGCATCTACCGGTATTTAAATTAAGATTTTAAGAACGTTTACAAACATTTATAACTTTTTTTGATTTGATTTGCCAACTATCACACTTAACCCGTGTGAACGTTGTGTATGTTAACGAGGTGATAGACAAAGTCGTGTATAATATTTCATAATGTTAGTGATGTGTACGGTCACATTGGGCAAATATTTGATGACAAATGTCAAATATTCCTTTGTCACAATCTGTAAGCCAAAACAGCTGATTTTGGAAAACAAAATTATTTGTCAGGAAACAAAAATTTGACAATCCATGGTAGAAGAATATAGGTAGACGCGTCGACACAGCTGCTGGGACAATGAACTGTCAAACTAATTTTGGAATTGAAAATGTTGAATGAAAAATTATTTGAATTTGTAAAAATTGTTGAAAAATGCGAATTATAATAGCCTCCGAATGACGTATTATAAGAAAACATATAAACATCTACTTATATTTGAAAAAAAAATAAATTTTTTGACATATCAATGCTCCCAAGCGTTGATGCATCTACCTGTATTCTTCTGCCATGGTACAATCATTTACTATCATTTATTATACCCTTAGCCATATGGATACAGAGGGAATATATCATCTAATACGGCCAAAACGTGCCTCATCGAAATAACGGTTTTAGACCCTAAGTCTCTTTGGACCAAATCCGTTTCAGAACATTTGGAGTCGATCTAGCGATGTCCGTCCGTCCGTCTGTCGGGTGCGCACGATAACTCTCGAAGGGAGTATCCGATTTGATCCAATGTTGCTACATCGTAATATTATTGTCAAACTTAGATCAAGTTCGGAGATGGATAATATCGGTCCACTCCTTCTGGTACCTCCCACACAAAATGTCAAAATTTTCGATTTTGCTCCAACTTTGCGAATCCTAATATGTTAGGTACGAAAATGGACAATATCGGTCCATTCCATAAGGTACCTCCCCCACAAAAGGTCAAAATTGTGAATAATTACAACTCTCATAAAATGTGATGTAAGAGTCCGATTGTCTTCAAATTTCACATGTCTCAATATTAATATTTACCTAAGGTCTGGTGTTAAGATTTTCAAAAAAAAAATATATTTTTCCTGCACAGAAAGAGAATCGATAATCCGATTTTGTTATAACTTTGCAAAACCTAATATTTACGTCAGTTCTAGGTCAGGTGCAAAAATGGATAATACCTCCCCCACAAAAGGTCGAAATTTTGAATATCCATTAAACTCTTAAAACACTAAATTAACGTCCGATTCCATTCAGACTTGACACATCTCAATATTTTCATTAACTCAAGAACTTTTATAAAGATGGTAGAGATCGGACCATTCGTTTTGGTACCTCCCACACAAAGGGTCTAAGTTTTGAATAACCAAAACGAGCAAATAATCCGAAATAAACATTGGTTCTCTTCATATTACACACGTCACATTGTTTCTACTAACTCAAGATCTGGTGTGAAGATGGGATGTATCGGTCCACTCCTTCTGGTACCTCCCCCACAAAGGGTCAAAATTTTGAGTATCCATGAAGCTCGTAAAACGTAAAATTCCATTCAGACTTGGCACATCTCAATATTTTCATCAACACAAGATCTGGTAGAGATCGGCCCATTTCTTCTGGTACCTCCCCACATAGAGTTCAAGATTTAAAAAAAACAAAATGCTCAAGGAATTCGAAAGGAGCATCCCAATGCATCCATCCATATCCTCAAATTTCCCACATATAAACATTATTGCTAACACAAGATCAGTTGTGAAGATGATATTCATCGGCCAACCCCTTCTGGTACCTCACCCACAAGGGTCACAATTTCCAATACTTATATGTGTCATATCTTGCGAAACAAGTCGGCGATTCTTTACAACTTCCTATATCTAAATATTTCTCTTAACCAGTATTCTGATATGAATATGTAATTTGTCAGAATTTATGATTTCGCATAAATTAATCTGAAAGTATTCAATAATTTTAATTTTATGTTTCAGATCGAATACTATTGACCCGATTTTACTATTGCATGTACAAAAACGTTGAAGAGACCAAAAATCTATTAGAGATAAATTATACCATACGTAATGATTATCCACATATCTTTATTGATCGCGATCCCACTGACGAAGATACGGCCAATACATTTGCCTATGCGTAAGTATTAATTAAGGGATGAACGGAAGAAAAGCTTAAGAGTTCATGTTGCTTAATCCTGTTTGTTTTTTATTAAAATAATTCCACTTTTCTTTTTCAAAGGGATATGGTGCCACTACCAGGCCTAACACCGGAAAACTATCGTATGACCTTTTTACGCCTTTGTGATCCCGATCCTAAAATGGTAATTGTTTTAATTTAAATTTGAAGTTCTTTTGGAGGTCTTCTTCACATCTCCAATGTGTAAAGAGCTCCAAAACGATTTTCTGTAATTGACCTCCTATATTTATAAGATCTTCTATAAAAAGAAAAGAAATGAGTAAAATATTCTGTGAAGAGAAGGCATCTGTATATACGAGGACTATTATATATTTCTGGCTATGCAACACTAATACGTTTACAATATTGTGGACAACAAAGAAAGATTGTAAAATCATTAATGAAAAGCTTTTTATACCCTCCACCATACATAGTATGGAGGGTACATAAAGTTCGTCATTCCGTTTGCAACCCATTGAAATAATTATTTTAAACATAACAAAGTATATATATTCTTGATCAGCGGTACCCCCCGATATTTTGATGATTGTAGCCAAATTCTTCAGTGTAATTGTCCGAAAATCTACAAAAGGATTTTATTCTGGATGAGCTTATTATTATTGTCTATATAGGTTTACGATATCGTATATCCTCCATATAACGGCACCACCCTATAGTCGGTATTTTGATTATTTTAGGTACATTATGCACCGGAGTTGTTTAAAATTTCGTATTTAGAATTCATAATGGGTACTACAACCTAGTCCTCGTATAGGCCCCATACTGCAACAAAGTCAAACCCCATAATTTTTACATTTTTTTTTTAATTTTATTGAATGAAAGAAAAAAATGCCGGAAATTGCATCCAATTTAAGATTAAGTTTAGATTTGTTCGAATTGGTCATTTTTGGCACGAAACTGCTAATGAAACCGTCACCCGAATGTTGTTGTGCGGTATTTTGGCCAATTCCCGGCGAAGCGCTTGCTTGATGTGTTCGCAACTTTGGTATTTTTTAGTGCCAACCTTGCTTTTCAAAATACTCCAGACACAATAGTCCAACGGATTGGTATCCGGAGGTAGTTGTGTGCTGGAAATGAAGCGAGGAATCTCATTTTGTTACCATTTTTGGGTGGCGCGTGCTGAGTGCGATGGTGTTGAGTTCTGAATGTCCAAGGTCTGCGGCCGAAATGTGTGAGTGCCCAAGACTTTAATACACCCTGCAGAATATTTTCGCGATAATATTCGGCATTTATTTTAATGCCACGGTCGATTAATACGAGCAGAGAGCGACCATCGGTTGTTATGGCGGCTCACACCATCACCATGGCCGGCGCTTGAGTTCTGGTGGCCAATCGAAGGTGGACATTTTCAGCTGACCTCTTTGGCAAGTAAACACGATCATTTTGTTTGTTTACAAACCGCTGGACAACGAATATTTTCTCATCGGAGAAAACCACATTCGGCAGTTCACCACTTTCGGCCAAGCGAAGCAACTCTTTAGCTCTTTTGAGTCTATTTTCTTTCTGTTGCGGTGTAAGTTCTTGCACTTTTTGGAATTTCAATGACTTTACCCCGAGTTCATTTTTCAATATTTGCAGAATGGAATATTGCAATATGTTCAGGTCACGAGCCATTTTTCGGTCATTGCCACGCGGGTTTCGATCAAGTCGCTTCTTTACTTTTCCAACCATTTCTGCTGGTGTTGCTGTTTTTTTCCGTCCACTTCCTTGACGTCGGGCTACGCTACCAGTATCACGGTAACGAGCGATGGTACGAGACACAAAAGATTTATTCACATTTAAATGCTGGAGCCACTTGTGGTTTTCCAGCCAAATATAAAGAAATCACACTATCACGCTTGAATTTCATCACGAATAACTTTTTTTCTGGAAAGCTCTCATCAAAATGCTTTTGTACGCTTGTAAACAATATAATGAACTATCACTGGAATCATTTTAACAGCTGTCGGATGAGTGGCTTAGAAATGACAGCAGTCTGAAGTTGGTTGCAGTTTTCTCATCTCACTCTGTATTTAAAAAAAAAAATAAAATTTTTGACATATTAATGTTCCCAAGAGTTGATGCATCTACCTGTATTCTCCTACCATGCTACAGACCGTAAAAAGGGTTCGCTCTCGTAATGGTGCGAATACGTAAAACGATTATATGACTGGTTTAAGTCATCGGCTGACTTCTTCGTATAAGACAAAGGTGTTTTAGGTTGACTTAGTTCGATTTTGGCCCTACGCTCCTTTGTTTTTTTTTTTTTCGAAGAAGCCAGCCTATGACTGAAGCCAGACAAAAAGCATTTTATGTATTCTCACCTTAAGTCATGCTGGAAAATACTTTGAAAACATTTTTTTGTTGCAAAGTTGTCAGGCTTAATCCCATTATTGTTGTTTTTATAAAACAACATTTGTTTATTAGTGGAGAACGATGGTAATGTTTACCATCGTAAGGCAGGGAATACCTACGTTTCGGAAAGAGCCACCAATCCTAATCTGTTCCCTTGTTTTTTGTCTGGGATATTCTCCCCAGAAGTTATTTAAAAAATAACTTCTATGACAAAAAATTTTTTTTACGCAAGTGACGAGATCGTAACTTATATGGAAGAGGAAGCAAAGCCAAAGGAACCAAACCTATAAAAACATTTTACTGTTAAACATACAAACGCATTTTCAATAGGCCAGAAATAGAGCATCCTTCGTATATATGATGTCTTGCATAATTTATATCGAAAGATTTCTAATATACCCATAAAATTCCCCCCACAGATGCACCACACCGAAGATACCAAGGCATTTCTAATGATCACCGATTGTCGTTTCGCCATGCCCGATATTGTGGATGGTGATATGCCATTACTGTCCGAGGGAGAAGTACAAATATTCGATATGAATGGCTATACAATGAAACATGTTACCCGTTTGTCAATTAGAACTTTGCGAACTTATTTGAAGTTTTTACAGCAGGCATTTCCGGTGCGCATCAAGGCCATGCACATGATCAACTGCCCTTCATATTTGGATAAAATGTTAAGGGTGGTTAAACCATTTATAAACAAGGAAGTTTTTGATCTGGTATGTTGCTTAAACCCCCAAAAAACTTCTCCAAAAAAGAATGTAAAGTTTTAATTGCTTTCGGGGTATTGTAAACGAGTCCAGCCAAATTGTCAGTTTACGATTTAGTAACATTTTCTAACATTTCTAGATACATTTTCACACAACCGGTCTAGAGACATTATACGATCATGTGCCCAAGGATATGTTGCCCAACGAGTATGGTGGCAACGCTGGAAGTTTAAGCGATTTAAAGGAGCAGTTTAACAAAACTTTATTGGAAAAGAGGTAAGAAGCGAGTTTTTAACACGGGTTGATTGAAAATTGAGTTTTAAATTTTGTACTTTCAGAGACTACCTCATGGACCCAAACCAATGGCGAATAGATAATATCTAGATGTTATGTATTATTTAAAAAGTATTTTGTACTACTTGTTTCTGTATTAATTGTTAATTGTTTTATAAATGTTGTTAAATATTTCTTTTATACAAGTTTGTGTAGAATAAAATAAGTGTTCAAATAAGCTCGTCTCGAAAGAGAAAACAAACACATAAATCATAAAACATATGATCTTCGCCTTAACAAGGCAAAACTCGAAAACCATTCAGGATTAGAGATTCTAATAACCTTTAGATGACACATTAGAAAAGAAGCATTTATCCCATGTCACAATAAGGAGGTACAGCAGGTAAAATACAGCACTGAGTCTATGCTCACTGTCAGAATTATTCAAAATTAGATATTATAAGTTGTTTAAAACTTTTAACAATTGTTGTAAATTACTACCATTTGCCAGACGACTTGTTTTAACAAGTCAGCTGATTGCCTGCAGATTTTTACATTTTTATTTACAATTGTCTTACGAACAAAGGAAATAACATATCGTACCATGTGAGAAAGAAGTTGCTGAGTAATTTCTGTAATTAATGTAACCAGACAGACCTAATGCAACATCAATGATCTCTATGAAATTTTCATGGTAGAAGAATTTAGGTAGACGCATCGACACAGCTGTTGGGACAATGAACTGTCAAATCAATTTTGGAATTGAAAATGTTGAATGAAAAATTATTTAAATTTGTAAAAATTCCATATCGGATGATTATGGACAGACCATGTTCACTTAGAAATTAGGTATGCATGGTTACTTTTCCAGCAGGAATTGCCCAGCAACTTCTTTCTGAGAGAGTGACGTAGTTTTATTCTCTTTTGAAAAAAAACTGTGAAAAGTAAACAGACGGAATTCCTGCAAAAACTTGCAAGCAATCAGCTGATTTATCAAAACAAAGCAATGTGTCCGCGAATAAAGGAAATTAAGAATACATGCTGGCGTTCTTCAAAATAAATATGTTTTTGAAATTTCTTGACCAAATATAAATCACCGGAAGGGGAAGAAGAAGAGTTGCTAGCGATTTCAATAAGAAATGTGTCCTGCAAGAATTTGCACACTCTCAGTGAAAGAACAGTCAAAATTGTTCTCTCAAATCGCTCTTTTGAATTAATAGACGACTTCTAGTAACAATTTTAGTTTAACCAGACACACCTTATGTCATGGTAGAAGAATACATGTACATAGATACATCAACGCTTGGGAACACTGATGTGTCAAAGATTTTTAAACGTTTTTTTTTTTCGAAAATAACTAGATTTGTAAATGTTTTCCTATGCGACTTCAATCGGAGGTTGTGATTATAAGCATTTTTTAAACAATTTTGAATAGTTTTTCATTCAAAAAATTTAATTCCAAAATCGGCTTGACAGTTTATTGTGCCGGATACCTGTTTTCTTCTACCAGCAAAAGTTTAAAAAAAAAATAAATAGCCGCATAAAGCTAGTTTACACATCATATTAGATGCAAATGTAAAGTGACTTTTTCAAATGTATATTAATCATATCCAGTTATTCAAGAAACGTTTAATCTATCTTAGTTTATATCGTAATATAAAACATTTAATTTTGCTTTCAAAATGGTGGGGAACTCCTATTGAACTGTTCCAGAACTGCAAAGACCTAAAACTTTTCACTACGATAACTGATTTTTCTTGCTGGTTCTGGAAAAGACTATTACTTTACGTATGACCACAGAATACATGTTCTGTTTCAGAACCTGGAAAATAGGTTACCGTAGTAAAAATGTTTACATTTGCTCTACTCCATAACTTGCAAGAATCTACTAGTAAAAATTTAGTAAAAACTTTTCTATTCTTCCAGATCTGAAACAGACCCATTCTTGTCTTATGAAGTATAACACAGTCTTATGAAATAGAAACTAACATTAAGCAACATATTTTCGTAAATCTTGTTTATAACATAGTTGCTCTCGTGGTACAACAAGGATGTAGAACAGCTTCGTAAAACTACATAAATACAGCCCTGAGACTATGTCCGCTTCCTGTCAGACTCATGGTAGAAGAATATAGGTAGACGCATCGAAACAGCTGCTGGGATAATGAACTGTCAAACCAAATTTGGAATTGAAAATGTTGAATGAAAATGTATTTAAATGTGTAAAAATTGTTGAAAAACGAGTATTATAATATCCTCCGAATGACGTCGTATAAGAAAACATATAAAAATCTGCTTATATTTGAAAAAAAAATAAAAAATTTTTGACATATCAATGCTCCCAAGCGTTGATGCATCTACCTGTATTTTTCTACCATGGTCAGACTCATTCTAAATTATATACAATATATATGCATTTTTAATATTAGTTTCATATCCCGAAAAATGAATGAAATTCCTGGATTTTCTCTCAAGAATATGATCCAAACTGTTCAATCTTTCAATTTCATGACTAAACTGGTTAATAGCTTTAATGCGTGAGCAGCATTGTGCGTGTCTTCCAATCACTGCTTTTGAAAATATTTTGTTTTCATTTTTTCAAAACAATAAATACATACACAAAATTGACAGAAGTCGGGCACACTTAGAAAAAAATTGTTACCAGCTGGTAGCTCTACCTTACCTTTTTATTGTACCATGGTTGATCTGTTCCAGTAAAAGAAAAAAACTACTATTTTGCAATTTTCTTCGATATCACAAGGGAAAATCTATTATTGAAGTAACAACTTTTAAATTCTTGCAGTTCTGGAACAGACCAAGTGTCTTCTTCTGGTTTATTTGATGTGCAAGTTGTAAACATATATTTCGCTAAATATGCCGTGAATATTTATGGAATATAACTACTGTCTCGTTTGGACATATTTACAATAAATCGAGAAATCGATTCTGTTAACAATCGTTATTAGCATTTCGATTATCTATAACAAAAATCGATTAGCCCAAAGTCGACTTAGTTATCCCTAGTCAATAAGAACATAGAATTTAGAACGGAGAAGTTTTGAACAGCAGTGAGAAACGAGTAAAAAAAAAAACAAATAATTTGCAAATTGCAAGTCAATAGCAAAATTGCAAAACCAAATCAAATTAACACAAAAAGCCGGTATCTTTTGGAAAGTCTAGTATTCAGAAAAGAAGATCACAATGAATGTACCACAACATGATAATATTTTTCTCTTCGTGCCAAATTTGATTGGTGAGTAATTAAATAAATACACGCTCTACAACAACAAAAACAAAACACCAGCAGTTGGTTAGATGAGTTGTACGAAATGAAAACACCTGGAGCAGAGAAAAAAGAACATTTTAGCATTCCCAATAAAAGAAACTTGACCAAGAAATTGTGGAAACTGAAAAAAAGTCTATAATTTAATTAACGACCAGAGGAAAATGGCTGTATACACAACCCAAACAACAGCTAGTGGAAAATGAAGATGGTGGTGGTGGTGGTTACATTTTTTTCTGTACATGTTTATTATTAAATTTAGCTTTTGCGCCTAGACGGACAGAACTATGGAACTTTGGAATTTTCTCGACTTCGATGAATTATTATTGAAATTGATTTTAACATTTCTTTTGCATTTCTATTCTAGGGTATGGTCGTATCGTGTTGGCTTTAATAGCATTTTGGTTCATGTCCACCAATTATGTTGTAGCCGGTTGGTGTTATGCAATAAGCGCCTTGCTGGATGCAGTGGATGGTCATGCAGCTCGAGCTTTTAACCAGAGTAAGTAACTGGCATTGCAATTGAATACAAAGTCTGCCATAAATATTTATTACCTCTATCATGTTCTTATCGTTACCTTTGCATTGTGTATATATTGCTTGTTGATTGGCTCTCAGTGAGCCTGCATGTAGGTGGGGTGTGCGAGGTGGTTTAATACATATTGTATGTTTAATCAGCAAAAAAAAAACGACTTTGTTGTTGATTTTATTATGGGTTTGATTTGTTTACGTGCTTGTTTGTTTTTTTTTTTTACTCTCTCACTCTCATATAATGCCGCCGCGCCGGTTAGACTGCTCCACTTTGTTGTTGTTGCTGCTAAGCTCAATAATTCTCCAACACAAATCAGTTATAATGTTTATCAATTTTTTTTGTGCTGGAAAATAATATATCGTTATTACTATTTAAAATGCTGTATAATAATAGATCAATTAAGTATATTGTATGGGAATAGGTATCTAAATGGCATGCATGTTATGGGATTGATAGGATAAAGGGGCTATTGAAAGTCTTTAGATAACAAAATTAAAGTAAAGCAAAACAGTACAATCTCCGTTGCGATTATTTTTTTTTAGATTTGAAACTTTTTAAAATAATCCACACCGAAATTAGGGTATATTTTTAGAAGCTCATAAAAATAAACACTTGTTACCATTTTGAAAGAGGTCAATCGAAGTACCCAGAAAACCCATTGAAAGATCGGCTGAATGGCCAGAAAATTTAATCTGAAATGTTTAGAGAGAAATTCTGTTAAAAGTGGGCGTTCCTGTTTGGAAATAAAAAAGGAGCAAATCAGGAGCATACAGAAAACTAGTCTTGCCATTTCTAATTTTTTTTTTTTTGTTAATTCGACAAGGTTTACGAAGTCCATCTTCTAATAATAAACTGTGTAGAGATTTAAGCACCAGATACATTGTACATGCACATAGAGCTATCTTAAAGTTGCACCCTATCGTAGGTGGCATATGTAAAATCCACCAAAAAAATATTTTGACGGTACTTGAATTGTGACCTAAAACCAACCACAAATATGTACTTAAAGTTTATGGGTTTTTTGCAAGTTCCTTCCATCATATTTTCATATTGGCATTTTGCAGATAAGCTACATTATTTTCTCATACAAGTTTTAAACGAAAATAAGCTTTTGTACAAACTCCGACGTGTTTTTTTTTTTATTCTTATTAAAAGTTTTAACTGTGTTACCTTGACATAACCTGATTATTTAAATTACAGCATTTTCTCTCTGATTTTGGCAAAACTAAAGTTAATTGTTGACGTCTTACCTATATTAAAATAAAATACAACAATGGTGATGATGTCAATTATCTTTTGTTTACATTTTTCCTATTGACGTCACCCTTACAATATGTATATATAGATAGTATGTGAATGAATCTCATATAATTTCCTTATATATTGCGATTCTTTCTTTCGTTTTATCTCAATCAACAAGTGTATTTTTATGCATCACATCGTTTTGTTGTTGACGGACACTCTCTCACAAATGTCTTTGTTGATATGTTTACTTTTTATTTGGTGCTCTCTGTTTTTTATGGTGCCAATTAGGTTAGGGAATGCATATTCATTGCAATGAAATGTTTGAATTGTTTGCTAGCATTTCAATGTCATGGTAGGAGAATCCACCACTTTATATATAAGAGCAATATCGTGGGATTATTAAATTAGAAAATCAAGGCCAAAATTGTTTGGAAAATATTTCCAAACAAGAAAAACAATGTTGGACTTACATGCTTATATGATGATTCATATTCTTTTCTATCTGCTTATTTTTCGTATAGTTTTATAAAATAAGACTTGATAGTTCCATATGTTTTTCAGTTTTACGACTAAACACAATTGTTTACAATCCCATATGTATTTGGAGATGAAGCATTTTGCTATTATTTATTTATTTTGCCATGAATTGTTTATTAAATAGTGATACTTTTTTATTTTTAGGCACACGTTTTGGTGCTATGCTGGATCAGCTTACTGACCGCTGTGGTACCATGGGATTGATGGTAACTCTCAGCTTATTCTATCCAGAATACATGTTTTGGTTCCAGCTGTCAATGGCCATAGATGTGGCCTGTCATTGGCTGTACATGCAAACGTGAGTACTGTCTTAAGGCATGCGGAAATTCGTTTTTATTAATTTGTCTTTTTTTTTTTTTTTGCAGGAGTGTTGTTGTTGGCAAGACATCACACAAAGCCACTGATCTCAGTGAAAATATTGTAATGCGTATCTATTACAAGAAGGATGTTTTGACCTTTATGTGCTGCGTCAATGAAGCATTTTACATTAGTCTTTATGTATTGCATTTTACCACCGGACCATTGCGTAAGTCTTTTACATCTCGTAAGCCCCATAAGACATTTTTATGAAATTATTTTCATTTTTTCGCTCCAGTTTTCGGTATCTCATTGTTCAAAATTGTGGCCGTCCTTACAGCCCCCTTGGCTGTATTGAAGGCGCTGATTAGCTGCATGCATGCCTATGTGGCCAGTATAGATTTGGCTGGCGTTGATAAACGAGAACGTTTGGAGAAACGTGCCAAAGAAGCTAGCAAGCGTTCAGAATAAGCTCGTGCGAAAGCTGTATACAGATTTCCTTATTAGTTTTTAAGATTACCAGTCCAAGACATGCGGGCGTATGTAAGGGCTTCCTTGCAAACTAACATGTCCATATGTTTTTGTTGTAAACAACAAAAATATTATAACAACTGCATATTCCAATTTTATTTATTGTTTAATTTTGTAAAACAAATCTACAAAAGTTAATTTGATTTTATATATAGCTATTATTATTTTTCGCCGATACAAAATTTTGTACATTGTTTGTAGTTTTTTATTAGGTTATTCAATTTTACAATTACGTATTTTTTTAATAATTTATTTAAATTATTATTTGCTTAAATAACTTTTAAGTAGTTAAACAAATTGTTTTGTTGATTTCAGAATTCGCTGAAACCAAAATTTTAATTTAATTTTATTTTCGTCATTGGAAAATGATTTTGAAAAAGTAGAAAAAAAGTATTGTGCAGAAGAACTTTGTTTTTTTTAACTTCTAAATCGAAGTGCAAATATTTTGAGAATTCAACATTTAAACAAATATATTGTTGTAAGCATTTTAAGATAAGAAATATTAAATAAAATAAAACGAAGAAAAATGTTTCAGTGTGTAAATGTACATCTTAAGTGTAATTCTGTTTTATTTGCGGTCAAGTATACTGGACGTATGACTGTACCTTGGACACAGAAAGCCAATTTAATGGATTGACCTAAATAACCGCTGAAAAGAATGTGTAAAATGTATACTGGTATTAATGGTGGGATTCTTTTAACTTTTTTTGCGAAAAAATATCGAATAAAATGTTAAAAACATTGTTACTATCTGTTTTTTTTTTTTTTTTTTTTTTTTTTTTTTGCTAAATTACCAGAAATTATAGTTTACCAAAAATAAAAGCAATTAAAGAAGGGTTGGTATTTTTTTTTATTTATTTTATTTTTTTGAATTTAAGTGGCCCTAAATGTTCGAATCCAATATGAACTGAGGCCATAAAACAATAATTAAATCACTGAAAGTAGTCTTGCAAGCTTTCTGTAAGAATTAAACAAAATTAGATGTAAAATGTTATTCTCATTACTTTGATACTTTTTTAAAGATTTTAAAAGCCGAAAGACGAATTAAAAGACTGGATTTCATATGATATTCAAAATAAACAAGTAAAAGAGCTGTACATTTCTCATAAGCCATAACAATATCAAATTCGAAACTTAAAAAAAATTGGTTATAATGTAGCTAAAATCAGCAAAATACCGAATTTCGGAAGGTACCGTTGTATGGAGTTATACCAAAACGTGGACCTACATGGCCCATTTTCAATACCAAAAGTGCTGCAGACATAACATACATTTGAATAACATTTTATCAATCTACTTCAATTCGTTCGGAAGCAAGAGTGATTTCCACAGAAGGACGGACATCGCTAAATCAACATAAAATTTTATGCTGATATATTTATAGAATATATATACCTTGTGGGGTCTAAAATGTATATTTCGAGGTGTTACAAACGGAATGACAAACTTAATATACCCTCCTTACTATGATGGAGAGTATAAAAATTGCAACCAGCTGGTTGTTTTGCCTTACCTTTTTTTGTACCGTGACTTAAGGTAATGATACATAAGCAATTGGCATAATTGTCTGGCATATTAATGAGAAATTATAAGGGGAAAAATAGCAGGATTCTAAAATTCCTTTATGATATGTCACAAAATATGCCAAGCTGAGATGCTAACTGAATATATAAATGGAGCAATTTAAACAACCGTTCTTCTATTTTTACTGCAAGTTTAATATTAAAAATCGTATCTATATTTATTTTATATTTTTCAATCTAATGTCATTTATACCTTATTTAATACACCTGCATTAAATTCATTTTTTAATGTGGCAACATTGCATCGAAACAGCTGTCTTTTGTTATTGTTAATTTTTATTTTTTTAATATAACTTGAATTTAGGAAATAGTAGTCCAAATAGTAGTATTAATTTATTTAACTGACTATGAAAGTGATATCCCACCTAAAGGATATAGTCAAATATAGTATCCAGTATATGTGTGTGACGCACTGTTTCTTTGAATATGTAGGAGATTTTGTCGTGGTATGTACAAAAATGCATGGAGGTGATTATGCATATAAGATATTTTTTTGAATTCCTTTAACAAATTCGAAATACCATTACTAATTACAGTGTAATTTTTTTCCAGTGCAATGGCCCTTCCATGGAGCCCACTCTCTTTTCCAACAACATTCTTTTAACAGAAAGAATAACCACACGTTTTTATAAACCCAATCGTGGCGATATAGTTATTGCTGTCTCTCCCACAAATCCTGATCAATACATTTGCAAACGCGTTATTGGCCTACCAGGTGATAAAATCATTACGGAAAAACTTACCGAAAACAAGGAAGATGAAACGTTGAGTAAAACCGTAGATAAATATACACCCACCTTCAACGACGAGTACGTGCCAAAGGGGTTTGTATGGATTGAAGGTGACAATAGTACAAATAGCTCGGATTCTCGTTACTATGGTCCAATTCCTTTGGGTCTAATAAGGAGCAGAGCCATTTGTAGAATTTGGCCTTTGAATGAAATAAAAACTTTATGAAAGGTGGTTGTTTAAGAAAGAAATTTCTTAAAATATAGATGAAATTTATTTAAAATAAAAATTATATGACTGGAAAACAATTATTTGGAAAATTGTGAAGTAAACCTCGCTATTATTTTCAAAATACAAATAAACAAAATCAAGAAGAATTTGCAAAAAAATTAAAAATTTTAAAAAGTTCGGCTCGTCCTAACTTAGTTTTTTTTTGCTTTTTTCTACAACAATTTATTCAGTAAACTTACACTCCCATTATTTACTGTTTTTCAAGCTCAATAATTTAGACTTCACTCTATTCTTTGTAAGAGAACAAAGGAGTTTTAGGTTAAATTTTTTGTACTTGTTAATCCTACGCCCTTTTGTTCTTTTACGAAAAAGCCAGCCGATTACTTAAACTTAAGGTGCGAATTCATAAGGCTGGAAATACATAAAGAGCATATTTGGCTGGTTTAAGTCATCGGCTGGCTTCTTCGTAGATGAACAAAGGAGTTTTAGGTTGACTTAGTTCGATTTTGGACCTAGGCTCCTTTGTTCATTTCCGAAGAAGCCAGCCGATGACTTAAGCCAACGAAATATGCTCTTTATGTATTTCCAGCCTAAGGGTTTCATGTATTCTTACCATAAGTCATCGGCTGGCTTCTTCGTAAAAGAACAAAGGAGTCTTGGGTTGACTTAGTTCAATTTCGGTCCATACTTGCTCACCCTACGCTCTTTTGTTCCTTTACAAAGGACCTAGCCGACTACTTCTGAGTCAAGGCTTCTTGAATGGCTATGTTGTTTTGAATTTCCATAACGAGCGTCCAATCCTCAGTACAATAATTTTCAAGGTTTACATTGTGGCATGGCGTTAGGCTCGTTTGGTAGCCCTGGCTAGGCTGGCTTAAGTCATCGGCTGGCTTCTTCGTAGATGAACAAAGGACTTTTAGGTTGACTTTGTTCGATTTTGGTCCTAGGCTCCTTCGTTCATTTAACCCAAAAAATCTGCAAGAGTACTATTCAAATCACAAAACAGAATAAACTCATTACGAAATGGCTTGACATGAAATAACGAATACCGCTATTGACCTAATCAGATTCTTTCGTAATACTACCACATATATTCTTTAGTTTAAAATATTATAGAGAAAATTAAAGAAATAGTATTAAGAAGAACTCAATTTTCATTAATTTTTTATTCAATATTCTACCATTAAAGATACAGCTTGCTGCATTTTATTTTCGGCATCCGTCATCATTAAAGACATACCCTGGCAATAGCAAAATACCCAACTAATGCAACCCTGTGTTATATGTCACTCCCAGTTTAACGTTAACGAGCACTGCTTTATCGCTCATTCATTTGACATCTGCTCATTTGTTCCGATTTTTTCTGTTGGTGTGAAGTGTATTGATTGGTCATCAGCTTTGCTCTGGAAGAATCTTCATAGTGTAAATTATTAAATAAAATCTCAAGTAATTCCTCTGTGAAGTAATTCTTTGCGAAAAACCATGGCTTCAATTAGTTTATTGAATCCTAAAGCTGAATACGCTCGCGCTGCAAATGCCTTGGCCTTTAACATCTCGGCTGCCAAAGGTTTGCAAGATGTCATGCGGACCAATTTGGGACCTAAAGGAACAATGAAAATGTAAGTATTATTAACGTTTATGTTATAATGCGTTCTTTTAATCAGCAAATTTTAAGAATTTCATAAAATTTGATGGATTTAAATGAGTTTTGGTTAACATCTGTCGGCATTTACTGGGCTTCAACGAAAAAAGTGAGGTTAAATTTGTTGAACGAATGTGTCATCGAATGCAGCAGACAATAGTGTTGATAAACGTTGACTATAACTCGAATGACTCCATTACAATGTAGGAGGGATTCTACTAAAGATATCATCATGTGTCGTTTTTAATAAGAACTAGTGGTTGCAGTTTTATTTCATGGACTTGCATGTATTGTTGCACAGTTTGGCTATGGATTATTGACATTTTAAAGAATAATTCATGAAATAAATTGTGCCAGAGAAAAGGCTTAATTAACTCTGAATATGATATTGTATCTCAGATATCCATATTCGTACAATTTAAGCCACATGATAAAAAACTGGATCTGTTTTCCATTGTATACCTATTAATGAGGGATTTCGTATGATTAGTACCAATCGTAAAGTATTAAATTTGCACATCTTGGCTATGAATTATTTACACCGCAAAGAGTAATTCATGAAATAGATAGTGCCAGAATAATTGTTTATTTAACTCTGAATATGATATTGTACTCTAAATATCCATATTCGTACAATGTAAACAACAAATTTCGAAACTGTATACGCTTCGTCTTGTATGTAACCCAAATCCATTAATAAAATACCGAATATTAACTTCGGTTTCAAAAGGATAACATTGGCATCAAGCTTGCGCTAGATTAACTATAGTTTAATTTAATTTGAATCGATGGTCAAGTCTTTGGCATCTGTTCGGAACCATTAATCTACAAAGTTAGTTAAAATATGAAGTAACAATTCTGTTATTTTTTTTTTTCGCTGTATACCATTTGCGCAATTAGCCTATAAATTGTTGTATTCCTCTAACAATTTGTTATAAAGCTTGCGCCAGACAAACTATGGTTTAATTTAATTTGAATCGATGGCCACATCCTTGGTCTCTGTTCGGAACCATTAATCTACAAAGTTAGTTAAAATATGAAGTAACAATTCCGTTTATTTTTGCTGTATACCATTTGCGCAATTAGCCTATAAATTGTTGTATTCATCTAGCAATTTGTTATAAAGCTTGCGCTAGATAAAATATTGTTTAATTTAATTTGTATCGATGGCCACATCCTTGGCTTCTGTTCGGAACCATTAATCTACAAATTTAGTTTATTTTGTATTCCATTTGCGCAATTAGCCTATAAATTGTTGTATTCCTCTAACAATTTGTTATAAAGCTTGCGCTAGATAAAATACTGTTTAATTTAATTTGAATTGAAGGCCACATCCTTGGCCTCTGTTCGGAACCATTAATCTACAAGGTTAGTGTAAATAAAATAGGAACTTACAATCCATTAAATGACCTGATTATTTGTATTCCATTTGCGCAATTAGCCTATAAATTGTTGTATTCCTCTAACAATTTGTTATAAAGCTTGTGCTAGAAAAATCTGAGCTAATTTAATTTGAAGTGAAAATTGTAACCAAATCTCATTTCGGAACCATTAGCCAACAAAATTTTGTTATAAACATTTTATTTTTAGGGATAAAAGCCAATAAAATGTTGTAAAACTCTGACAATTAATTATAAAGCTTATGACAGCAAAGTTTCGGAACCATTAAACTACAAACATTCCATGTGTAACCCATGGTGGCACAATAAAAAGGGAAGGTAGAGCTACCAGCTGATTACAAAACAAAATATTTTCAAAATCAATGATTGGAAGAAACAAATAGTGCGGGGTGCGCATTAATAATACTAACCAGATTTGCCGCGGAATTGAAAGATTGAACACTTAGGAACATATTTTTGAGAGAACATCCAGTAATTTCATTCATCTTTCGCGCCATTTGACTCATTTTAAAAATGAAAAAAAAATATATATATCAAATAAATGAAAACAACTTGTTGGATATAATTATGAATAACTCGGACAGGAAGCGGGCATAGCCTCAGGGCTGTATTTCTCTAGTTTTACCATGGTGTTATTGTACCATTGTGTAACCCTTTTTAAAAACTCCTTTTTATATATTATTATTTAATTAATCACAATAACGCACAATTAGCCTATGGAATGTTTTATTTCCCTAGCAATTCGTTATAAAGCTTGTGCCAGAATAAGATTGTTAAAATAATTTGAAAGAGATGTTCACACAAATTCTCTCTTCGGAACCATTAACAAACAAAAACAACAAGGAAATCTTTTAAATTTGCATTAATAATTTTTCTCTTCAACTAACTGAATATTTTCCTTTTGTTTTAAATTTCCAGGTTGGTGTCGGGAGCTGGCGACATTAAAATCACCAAGGATGGTAATATTCTTTTGCATGAAATGCAAATTCAACATCCCACCGCATCGATGATTGGCCATGCTAGTACCGCTCAAGATGATGCAACTGGTGACGGTACCACATCCACAGTTTTACTCATTGGTGAGCTCCTAAAACAAGCCGATATCTTTTTGGCTGAAGGCCTTCACCCCCGTATTGTGACTGAAGGTTTTGAAAAGGCCCGCGAACAAGCCTTGGCTGTTTTGGATACCATGAAAGTACCAGTTGAGGTTAACAAGAAGAGTTTAACCGATGTCGCCAGAACTAGTCTGAAAACTAAAGTTCATGCCGCTTTGGCTGATTTGTTGACAGATGTCTGCGTCGATGCTGTCTTGGCCATTCGTCATGACGAAAAACCCGTAGATTTGCACATGATTGAAATTATGGAAATGCAACACAAGACAGCCACCGATACTACTTTGATTAAAGGTTTGGTTATGGACCATGGTGCTAGACATCCTGATATGCCCAAACGTTTGGAAAATGCCTACATTTTGACTTGCAATGTTTCCCTTGAATACGAAAAATCAGAGGTTAACTCTGGTTTCTTCTATAAAACTGCCGAGGAACGTGAGAAGTTTGTTCAAGCTGAACGCGACTTCATCGACCAGAGAGTAAAGAAAATCATCGAATTGAAGCGTAAAGTTTGCGATGGTACTGAAAAATCCTTTGTTGTTATCAACCAAAAAGGTATTGACCCCATGTCTTTGGATGCCCTTGCCAAAGAAGGCATTTTGGCTTTGCGTCGTGCCAAGCGCCGTAACATGGAACGTTTGGCTTTGGCCTGTGGTGGTACTGCCATGAACTCTGTCGATGATTTGGAAGAATCTCACTTGGGCTATGCTGGTCTCGTCTATGAACATGTCTTGGGTGAAAATAAGTTCACATTTGTGGAAGAGTGCAAAAATCCACAATCCGTAACCATTTTGGTCAAGGGTCCCAACAAACACACCATTGTGCAAATCAAGGATGCCATTCGTGACGGTTTGAGAGCCATTAACAATACCATTAACGATAAGTGCGTCATTCCTGGAGCTGGTGCTTTTGAAGTACGTGCTTTCAACAAATTGATGAAATACAAGGATACCGTTAAGGGTAAAGTACGTTTGGGAATCCAAGCCTTTGCCGAAGCTCTCTTGGTGATACCCAAAAATTTGGCCATCAACAGTGGTTACGATGCCCAAGACACTATTGTTAAGTTGACTGAAGAAGATCGTCTCAATCCCGATCCCATTGGCTTGGACTTGTCCACTGGTGAACCCATGAAACCCGTTGATTTGGGTGTTTACGATAATCATATTGTTAAGAAACAAATTTTGAATTCCTGCTCTGTCATTGCCAGTAATCTGTTGCTGGTCGATGAAATTATGCGTGCTGGTATGACCAGTCTAAAGGGTTAGTTGTGTCATGGACACAAAAAAACCTATTGAGATGAAATAAATACTACCCGCTTTTCTAACCAACAACCATACATTGTATTAGTTTTTGTTTACCATTTTTTAAATTGTATTTTATTCTTTGCTAACATCTACACATCATTTGTTTGCAGTACGCAAATTTCTTCTGTTTTCGAAACACTAAAAACTCATTTTTGATTGTCTATTCTCAAGTTGTATAACATAAAAATAAAAGCACGAAATAAGTGATGCATTTAAAATAATAAACCATGAGTATTTTTTTAAGACTGGTGAAAACAGTTAAATTTGACTAAATTATAGAAAATTCAGAGGTGCTCATTTGAAATGACCTCACCTTCTTAATTCTACAATGCAGAAGGGCTTGCTGGCCGGCTTTATTTAGGCTATGGTTTTGGTATAATGCAATGAAGACATGGTAGGATAACTTAAAGGATTGTAATGTTAGAATAACTATCAAAACAAATGCAACTTGTATCGATTTTGAATAAATAATAAAAAAACGCGAAAAATGAATGAAAGGTCATACTATCTTTTTAAAATCATCTACAGGTTTATTACACTGCAAAAATTGAAAATTTGTTCTTGCATACGTTGAAATAAGCATTTTGAAATCAACTGAATTTGAATATTTTCTAAAGAATTTTCATTAATTGGTTTCACTGTACCATGGGTTTTGGTAACTCAAAAAAAAAAAAAAAATATTTAACAAATTTGTTCAAAGGAGTTTTGAAAATTCAATTCAAAAATTTTTTAGCACAATTAAAATACATTTTGTTGGAACGCATTTTAATTGCATTAACTAAACTCTTACGCTTTGGAAAAAATTAAGGTTATATTAATTTATTATTTTATCGTCTGTTACACAAAAGAAGAGAACTGTTAACAGTTTTGTTGCTGGATTTTATTGGGGGAGTTTTCTATAGAGATCTACCAAAAAACCAACTGTTTTCAACATTTATTCTTGAAACAAAAATTAAAATATTGGTTTATCTTACAAATTGATTATTATTATTAATTTTTAATACATATTTAAATAAAGGATACATTTACCAGAACAGCTGATCTGTTGCTAATTCTTATTGGAAGGCATCTGTTTGCTTTTCATAGTATTTCCATTGGAATGAACTTGGTCTCCTGCAAAAAAATAACTGAGCAAATCTCATTGGGAAAGTAACCAGACATACCCAATAAGCGACCGTGCCATCATTTTTCTGTGTCTGCGGTGTCATCTTTCAGTGATTGTAAAAAACGATAGCAAGAAATCGATAATTCTGCTATCAATTCAACGTCCATATTCCTCTTTGCTGCAACAGGACATTATTTTGGAAGCGGAAAACAAGCTGTTTTAAAGCGGAAATGGATAACAGTTATCCCAAGAGCTTGGTGGATCATTACCTGAAGGTATCCGCAAAGCTTAAGAAGATTGAAAAGGCCATGTTCAAGTAAGTTTGGACGATTGATCATGGCATTATGTTACTAAACCAAAACCATCTTCTGATTTTAGACGTTTTGGTCCCAATGTCTCCGAAGTTATGGATGATTATGCTCGTTTGGCCATTAAATTTGAGGAAGCAGGTATTTTCCAATATGCTGCTATGTGCCAATTAGGTGTGGCCAAATGTGAAAATTATCTCCAAAACTCAATGTCAGAATGTCAAGCTCTTCTGAAAGCGGCTCGTCTGTTTCTCAGGGCCCACGAAGAAATGGAATCATTGTTATTGCGTTCAAATCGCCATGAATATCGAGAAACTGCATTACATTGTTTCACACAGGCCATTGATAAGTCACCGGACGATAGCGTTATAAAGGCTGCAATCATACGAGAAATGTCGCCACTGCAGCCGCATTATGAGGGAACAAGCTCATTTAATTCACCAGCCCATCGAATATATGAACTGGAATTGGCCACGGAGCAAAGTGTTATGAATCGCGATTTCTTAACTGCTTTGCAGCAGTTGGACGATATTGTCGATAACATTTATGAACGTAAAAAACAAAATCTTTACCAAGAGGTGCTATCCAAATCAGAGATTTATCGTGTTCTTCTATTGGTGGCACTGACATTGCCACCGGCTCGTCAAACTCCGGCCCATATTAAGCTAATCGAATTCTATACACAATTGGCGGAATTCCAGCAGGAAGACGATATTTGTCCGAGTCCTTCTCAGTCTCCTTGTAAGAATGTGCCACAATTGTATGCCTCCTGGCGACCGGGTCTATTTTTGACACAATCTCAAAAATATGCCTTGGCTGAAATAGTTTTGGCATGGCATTTATCTAAACCGCGCGATCTTAGAGTGGCGTTGCAAGAGTTTCGTCATAATTTTAGTTCACTTAACGACACCCAGAGGTATCTTATTAATTGTATACTCGAAAAAGTAGATACGAAATGTTAAAGTATTATATTTACAAACAAAATTATTAACTATTAAGACTTTACATAAAAAAACATTCCTAAAATAACTTGAAGCAGATCGTTTCAAGTTATATTGCGTTGAAGAATTATTATTTGGAATATACTCCACTTAAAGGATTGTTACTTCCTGCAATTATCTTGAACAACAAGATGATGTTAAAATTAAGGTAGCAATTCCAATAGTTGATGCGAAAATGAAAAGTCAGGAGAATCGGTGAAACATGTAGCATTATGCAAAAGTATCACTAGAGTGCGCCCATCTTATGTTTTAGTAGAATAAGGTAGTATACTGATGTAGTATGTTATAGACCATGGGTGAATATTTAATATTTAATATTATAATTATAATATTAATCATGTATGGGAAAGAGAAAATTTCAGTATGTCCCCACCTTTTACGTTTATTAAGTAGCATAGATTCTGTTTTCGATGCATATGATGGATTCGCTCAGTTGTGGTTTGTTATGGTGATCCAAAGCGATAATCACCCAGCTCTCTTTCTCGTGTAGGCTTGAAACGTTTATTAACGTCGTTAATAAATGCAGTTTATTATAGTAGAGTTTTCAAAACATCATCCGTTTTTAGAGAGGAGGGGATAGTATTTGGCCTATCGACAAATACGTTACTGATACTGCCTTGCCGTTACGATCGAGCGTCAGTGGTTCAGCGAACTTAACGACGCGATTCCATTCAATTTTTATATCATATGCACTGGAAATGTTTCCTTAAAATTAGTATAAATTTACTTTTTTATTTTTTATATTTATTACTTGATTTATGTACATTTTCATTAAGTTAATTTTAGCTTAACACCAATTTCCCTTAAAATTGTATTGGCTTGGATCAAAAAATATTCAAAAATCAATCAAAACTTTAAATAAAAACAATATCTAGACAAAAAGTTCGATTAATGTTGATCTAAGTGGCCAAATTTCTTACGCAGTTTTTCACGTCTCTCTTTTTTTACACTGCGCCACGGTTTGGCAGATGGATCTGTTTCGACTAAACTGCCATCGTTGGCTAAACGTATGTGAGGAAAATTTGTTCGGCCTTTGACATGGGCAGCCGAGCTTTGTCCAGAGAAAAATTTGCTATCCAATTCAGTTGAAGATGTGTTTGTTTTCACCTAAGCACGAAATATTTAATTATCAGATCAATATTTAAAGCGCATAAACTTACTCTCATTGCTCTTTGTTGTTGATGCGGCAAGGATTTTTCCTCAACTTCTTTGCGTACTCGCTCCGGGAAGGTGTGATACACTGATTGTTCGACAGTTGGAGGTGCCACACAATACAAAAGTTTACCATTGACATAATCCTTGCAAACATAACGGGCGGATCTAGACTGATCGGGTTGTCCATTGGAGGTCATAAAACCTCGATTGTCTGAAATATAAAAGAACAAACAATTTATATTACGAATAAAAAAAATAGACTACAATGTATATGTTACTCACAGCCATATGCCAGCAACAGTTCTTCAGAATGGGGGCAACGATTTGGATCTTCACCTTCCATTGGTTTGGCTATTATTATACCATATTTGTCTTCTAATACGTGACGTGGTATACGCGAACACAAAAGATTTACTGCTGGGACATGATCTCGCATCTGATCAATAGGCAAAATACCATTTAGAATCATATCGGCTTTGGTTAGAACAAAACTGGGCATAACCAAACCAGGGCAATCACACAATAACAAATCCTTATCCAAGTACAATGTTTGGAAATGTTTTGTTTTTCCTGGTGTTGCAGAAACTGATACTTTTTTCTCCGTCATCAATGCATTTATTGTACTACTTTTGCCCACATTAGGATAACCTACTAAGCCAATAGTAGTTACTTTTTCAGTATATGTGGGGCCTTCATATACATTCTTGAAAAGCTCAATTAGTTCTTCACGAGTAAGCAGTTTTGAACTGTTTTTCTTGAAAAGCTTATTTGATTTTTCTTCCTCCGGTGTAGGCAATTTTTTCTCAATTTTCTCCAATTTGGCTTCAAGTTTATCCAGCGTGTCATTGATTTCAGAGGCAGCTTTTTTAAGTTCCTTAAGTGATAAATCGGCAGGAGTTTCCTCCTCTTCTTCTTCACTTGCACTTTCTTTCCCAGTTTCCTCTTCCTCCTCATTATTTTCATTATCTTTTTCCTGGGCTTTTCTCTCTTTAATCTCTGTTTTCGCTGGTTTTTCTTCTTTGTTTTTGGCTTCTTCCTTTAGCTCTTCTGTAGCCAGGGCTGCCGAGAAAAAGGCCGTTCTTATGCCTTGCTGGTCGAAATACTCTGCCCAGTGTTTTCGCTGTTCATCGGTAAGCAAATCAGATTTATTTACCAAAATCATATTCATCTTTTGTGGATTGACTTCCTTGACATATTTTTCCAAATCCTCACTTCTAAACAACAATGGATTACGGGCATCTACAATTTGAACTATAACATCAGATCTCTCAACCACACGCCACAACTGACGCCAGAATTCCAAATTTTTTTCATATGGTGTCAAAATGATATCCTCATCTTCCTGCAACAAAGCCAAATTACGTCTCCAATCTAAGAAGCTATCACGTTCGGCCTTTTGCAAGTCCTCGGCAGATGTTTCCGGTGTCCATTTGGGTCTTCGTGGAATTTTCAATAGATCTTTGTTATCCTTGTGTTTTTTCTCAATATTCAATCTCTCGTTACGCGAAAGAAGTCCCACACCTTGTTTGGGATTGATGAATTGTATATTCAACTTCTCAGCTTGGAATTCAGTGCCGGCCAATTCGGCAGTTCGAAGAAATTCTTGAAATGAGGATTCTTCGGTAACAGAACTGAGATTTAGACGTCCCCAATCATAGCCATCCTGTATCTCTGTTGTGTGTAACTGTAACAAAGAGATGGTGGTGAAATATTATCAACATAATCAAAGACTAGAAGTTTTGATTTTTACCATAGAATCATTGTCCACTTTCCTCCTGGGCGTATGGCCAAAGCGATCCTTGATTAGAGTGCGTCCTAAATTACTCCCACCTTTACTTTTCTTACTCATTTTTGCTTTAATTTGTTAATTTTATTATTTTTATTAAAAAATTGTTCTCAATAGTCACACGTGCGATGCGATTTAAAGAAATTATGATTAACGGACATGTGGCATCTCTGAAAGCAAAAACAAGGCATAAGAGAAATTGGAATAAAGATATAGAATCAAAACAGAAAACCCAATTAACAACAAGAGATGGATGGGATAAGGGGTTTAAAGGTTCTAAAAGGGAAATTGCCTACATGATTTTAGGGATCTACAGATCGTCGAATTCAGTTTGTGAAAATGAACAATTATTAGCTTTGTTCCTTTACTCTTTTGAAGACAATACAAGAGAATGAGCAAAATGTAAGGCTCACTCTTGTGAACTCAAATACAGAATTACTACTTAAATCTGATAAACATTTCAAAACTTGTTATGTTTCCCCTTCAATTCGAGCATGCCATTTCCTTTAACAAATGCAACGCCATATATTCAACCATGGTACAATGATATCAAGGTAGGGCTATGATACCATATGATTTCAAATTTTTTATTTTCTAGGCTTAATATGTCATCTTTATTTGTTTATGTATGTGTTTTCTTTTCAATAACAAAAAAAATGTTCAGAAAACATTCAAATTCGGATGTTTTCAAAATGTTTATTTCATCGTATGCATCGACAAAATCTAGAGTTTTTGTAGCGAAATAATCCTTTAGAGATATATAGAACCTGGTTTTGAAAAGAAGTGTTGACCTTTCATTCAGTTATCGCGGTTTTTAATTATTTATTCAAAATAAATGCAACAAGTTGTTTGATTTTTTATTGTTTTGATACTAATTTTGACATTACAAGCCAAATAGGTAGACCTCTATACTTGAAATTTTTTCAAAGTTGACCTACCTTCTCTTCATTGTACCATGTATTCAACCATGGTAAAATTAAGAAGGTAAAATCATATCAAATAAGCATTTTCTGCATTTCCTATAACTTGTCAAATTTCATTGCGTAGAAAACAGGCTGCTATCTCTGATTTGTGTATGTACAATGAATTCATAAATACATTATGACAATGAGATGTTGTCAAATGAATAATTTTGGAAAAAAATGTAAACATATGATTGCATGACTTTACTTTCTTGATTCAACAATGTATTCAATAAAAGTCTTAACATTTATTGCACATCAAAGCATATTTTCTTCATAATTAGACTAAAACAAGATATTTTTCTATTTTCAGGATTCCCAGTATATTGAATATTAATAAAAAATATTAAATATATAAAAATTATGTAATGCACAATAAACAAAAAAATAATTTAATTATAACTAATGGAAATTTAATATTTTTTTAAGTTAATTGTAATTATATATTGGACCTAAACTCGGAACTTTCCCAATGTGTTATTTTAGATTAAGAAATTATCTCAGAATTAACTAGGACTGCTTTCGGCATTTTCTAAAAGAATTTTCACCAGAGTTGCAAAGTGGGCGCCGATCACCGTATTGAGGTTTTTTGCTCGGGGAACTTATCAGTCCAGTCATATTGTCAAAAATCGACTTCATGTCGGAAAAAAACGACAACCCCAATACCGTTATTGTCGCCTCGACTTCATTTTGTGATTACGTCGACTATAGTAACACTGCCTTTTTCTGACATTTTGTTTTATTCAGTATTTCGTGTAGAGCTGTATTGTTGTGCTAATTGTTTGTAACAGATATTTATAAAGAAGTGATTTAAAATTAAATGTGTGAATCTAAAGAAGAAATGATGGAAAAAGTTATTGAGGTGTTAAATATTGCAGTGGAAAGCTCAGATATAAATATGCCTAATAAAAACCAAATGAAGCTGTGGATAAAACCATGGAGGCAGGAGCGACAGAACAGAGGATCATTTTCCATGCTAATGAGAGAGTTGTCGTCCGATGTGTCTTCATTTTTTGCATACATTCGTATGGATCAAAATACATTCACATACAAACTTCCAATTAATTTTCATATAATTCACTATACAATTCAATCACTAAACACATCACAATAAAAGAAACACATCAAAAATTACAATAATGAAACGATATAAAATGTCAAAATCATAAAAAATTCGGAAGAAGCAAAAAGAGAAATGCAAAGAAAATGGCATGTAACCCTGTGCGGTGGCTTATCGTGCCATTTTTTCTTCTAACCATGTTTCTCTACACCTTTTACCAATAAAAAAATGGCATGGTTAAAAAATGCCACCGTGTAAAGGCAGTGTAATAGGCAGCATACGAAAACAAACGAAACTAATAATGTACCGCTCACACAAGTCTACAAACTATTAAATTATTTTCAATCGTTTTGTCCTTAAAACAAAACAAAACCACAAACATTTCAATCCCAGAAGTACACAAACAATACGATTGCCTTAATGTACTTCGGCTGTGAGTTGCAGAGCTGTATCGCTTCCGAACGAATTGCCGGGAAACGTTTCCAAACGTTTGATATGCGAAGCGACGGATAGTACATTTAGATTTGTCACATTAAATATTGCTTTTTATACCTTTTTAGATTGATTGATGAACAAAAAATGAATAAAAAAGAATGAATTTTATATTAGTTTGTATATTATTTGTAATGGGTTATTAAACAGGGAAACGTTTGCAATGATATTGCACTGTTTTTACTCGGACAAAAAACTGCAACCAACTTGAGACTGCTGTTATTTCCAAGCCACTCGTCCGACAGCTGTTAAAATTATTCCAGTGACAGCTCATTATATTGTTAACAAGCGTACAAACGCATTTTGGTGACAATTTTCCAGAAAAAAAATATTCGTGATGGAATTCAAGCGCGATAGTGTGATTTCTTTATATTTGACTGGAAAACCACAAGTGGCTATCGTTAGAGCACTCCAGCATTTAAATGTGACACTGGTAGCGTAGCCCAACGTCAAGGAACTGGAAGGAAGAAAACAGCAACATCAGCGGAAATGGTTCGAAAAGAAAAGAAGCCACTTGATCGAAACACTGAACATATCGCAATATTCCATTCGGCAAGTATTGAAAAATGAGCTCGGGGTAAAGCCATTGAAATTCCAAAAAGTGCAAGAACCTACACCGCAACAGAAAGAAAATAGACTTGAAGGAGCTAAAGAGTTGCTTCGCTTGGCCGAAAGTTGTGAACTGCCGAGTTTGGTGTTCTCCGATGAAAAAAAATTCGCTGTCCAGTAGTTTGTAAACAAACAAACCGATCGTGTGTACTTGCCAAAGAGGTCACTGAAAACTGAAATTGTGCAACTTCGGTTGGCCACCGGAACTCAAGCGCCGGCCATGGAGATGGTGTGGGCCGCCATAACAGCCAATGGTTTCTCTCCGCTCGTAATAATCGATCGTGGCATCAGATTGAATGCCTAATATTATCGCGAAAATATTCTGGAGGGTGTATTAAAGCCTTGGGCACTCAAACATTTTGGCCGCAGACCTTGGACATTTCAACAGGACTCGGCACCATCACACTCAGCTTGCGCCACCCAAGAATGGTTACAAAATGAGAGTCCTCGCTTCATTTCCAGCGCACAATGGCCACCAAAATCTCCGGATACCAATCCGTTGGACTATTGTGTCTGGAGTATTTTGGAAAGCAAGGGTGGCACTAAAAAATACCAAAGTGTCGATCACCTCAAGCAAACGATTCGCCGGGAATGGGTCAAAATACCGCAGAGTAACATTCGGGTGACAGTTTCATTGGCCGTTTGAAGGCCATAGTTCGTGCTAAAGGTGACCACTTCGAGCAAATCTAAACTTATTCTAAAATTTGATGCTATTTCCGACATTTTTTGCTATCATTCAATAATATTTAAAAAAAATGTAAAAATTATGTTCCAGTTTTTTTATCTCACCCTGTGTATGCAGAAAACCAAACACCTACCTTATCAAAATGTTCTGCTATTCGCATTTATTTCTTGTAAACCGTAAAGTAAAAGCACATTGCGTATTTTATTTTAATTTATGATTTCTGTATTATGGTCTTTTTTAGATTTTATTTGATTCTTTTTATTTTATTTTTTTTTTTTTGAATTGTGTATAATCTTCATTTGTTTTCGAGTTTTTATTGCCTACAAAATAAGAAAAAAATATGTGGCGTTGTAGTTTATAATTCTTTGTTTCTGTTTCTTTAGATTTTTATCATATGATATACCATCATATAGTAATAATATGTTTTAATGAGTATATAATAAGTAAATTGTATAAACATTATATACTATATAATAAATATATATACTTAGATTAATGCATATATAGGGATTGAAGGATATATAGATTAGAGTCACATACAACATTTATATCACTAGAATTATTTGGAAATAAATTAAATAAAACTGAAAAGTAAAGTTGTTTTAAATTTGTGATAATTAGAAATAAATAAAACTATACAAAATTGAATACTTTTAACTTTTGCCTTGAAAATAAGTGTTTGTGGATTTTTTCTTACAGTTTTTTGTTTTGTAATTAAATATTATCTATTTTTTTATTCTTTTGTATTGTAAGCGAAATCAGTTGTTTATTGTTTCAAATAAATAGGAATCTTTGAAGTGATTGTTTAACGAGTTTATTTTTGCCTTTTTGGTTGTTGTGTTGCTTCATCGTCATTGTTTCATCAGCCATTCTATTCCAAAGCGAAATTTAGTTAGAGTGTATCCTTTATGTAATGAATTCAGTGTCTTTTGCATGTGGGTTTTTTTTTTTCAAATACATAGATATAATTTTTCTTAATTCTTTTTGTTTTTATTTCTACCTGATGTTTTTTTTTGTTTATTCTAAATTCAGCATTTTTTGTTTTAAATACGTTTGAGATTTAATAATTTTTTGTTTTTAACTTTTCGCCTTTTGTAAATTTATCAAAAAATGTTTGGGTTTTTTCTCTAAGTGTATGTCTTACAGTTAAGTTTTATTGTTAGAAAATCGTTTTCCGTTTTATTAGTTGTTAATAATTTGTTTAATTGTGTTGTTTGTTGTTTTCATTTAATTTCGTTCTGTGCGTTGTTTTCTAATTGAAGAACGGCAAATTTATAATTTGGTTTTGTTAAAAAAAATAATTTTGTGGTACAATTAGCAACGTTTTCGTAGTCGATAATTCG